GCCTGGTTCCCTGGGCACTGTTAGTAAATGGTTTGTGAGCATTCAGGGTTGGCCTTTCCAGCAGAGACACCCCAGGGCGTTGGTACTTCTTTGAAAGTCTCTGGGAGATCAAACAGCCCAACCTCTGCTTGGATTTACATTTTTTCTAGACTGTTTAATCTGACTTGGGTACAAGGATTTGGTTTTTTGCATTGTGCAAGGAGCTCCCTTAGAGGGAAAAAAAGTCTCCTTGAACTCCTGCTGAAACTTCAACAGTCACTGAAGGTTGGAGCAACCTGGGGCTGGCTGGGGGTGGCACTGGATGGGCTTTAGGGTCCCTCCCAACCCCAGCCAGTGTGTGATTCCATGGAAAGCTGGCTGAGTGCAGTGAGTCCCTGCTGAGCTGTTCCAGACCCTGTTGAGCAGATAATTGAATGCTCTCCTTGGTCTGCGCTGAGCAAACTCCCCTCAGCTGCCAGGTCCTACATCCCAAAACTGCTGGGAGAGTCACTCTAGGAGTTTCCACACTAGGAGGGAGGTGGGAACATGGATGAGGTCCCTGCTGGTCATGGAACAGGCTGGTTTGGGTTGGAAGGGACCTCACAGCCACGCAGTGCCACCCCTGCCATGGCAGGGACACCTCCCACTGTCCCCAGTGTCCACCCTGGCCTTGGGCACTGCCAGGGATGCAGGGGCAGCCCCAGCCGCTCTGGGCACCCTGTGCCAGGGAACAATTCCTCGTTGCCAAGAATCCCTGATCCAGCCCTGCCCTCTGGGTCGCTGCTTGCCCAGAGCAGGACTCGGTGCCCTGGCTCTGCCCCTCCCAGGAAAGGAGTCTGCCAGGGAAAGTAGGTCAGAAGGAGCAGGAGAACGAGCATGTACTAAAATCCCGATTCTGTTTGGTAAATCCTTTTTTCTTTTTTTGACAGAAAGTATTTGTATGTGAATTTCACGTGTGGCCGAGTGTGGTCTGACAGTTGTCTCTGTAGTAAACAAGCTGTCAGTGTCAGCTTGAAGTATAGAACCCCTCTGAGGACTTTCCTGACAGTGGGAATGGCTGGATGCTCTCGTAGCTCCATCAGGCTCTGATGTTTGGGAACCAGAGCTGCAAACCCAGGATTATTGCTGTGCCCTTTGAGCCTTGCTCTGTGTGCTGCTGCTCTGAGCCTTGCAAGATGTCAGGGTTTCCAGGGTTCCCCTTGCTATTCCTTACCCCCCACAGGGAATGGAAATCTCTGGATGCATCCCTCACAGCTTAGTGCCTTCGTTAAAATTCCTGAAGTTGTCCTTGGCATTTTTTAGTTGAAACCCAGAGTTCCAGGGGAGGAACCCTGAGCACGGAAGTTCAACTGAGCCCTTGTTTACACGGGTGAAATATGTAAACAGTTCTTTTTCCCCAAATATAGGGCTTTTTTCCTTGGCTGCCCTCCCGGTGTTTATAAAAGCCAGTTATGTAAATGACAATTGTAATAATTAAGCTGCTGTTCAGTGCTGTCCCCAGGGCTGCTGCTGCTGCAGAGCTTGGAGCTGCAGGGGCTTGGGGCATTATTGGAGATAATGGGACCTCAAAGAAGGAAATCAAGGGAAATTAAACAAACAAAATCCTTGTTAGAGAGACTCTCCCATGAGAAAGGGAAGGTCTGGAATGAAGTGATGTTGCAGGGGAGCTCTGGAGATCGTCCCCTCCACCCCTCCCCAGGCAGAGCTGCTGGTCCAGGGCCATGTCCATGTCCTGTTGAGTTTTGGGTGGCTAATGGCTGGAGCCCCCCAAAACAAGAGTAACAAAACAAGTCTGGGTGACTTGTGCCAGCCAGAACCACCTTAAGGCACATCTTTGTCATCTGTTACAAAAGCACCCCAACTGCCTTCCATGGGAGGTGAAAGTGGCTTCAAATTGCACCGGGGAGCTTCAGGGTGGGTATTGGGAAGAATTCCTTAATGGAAGATGTTGTCCAGCCGTGGCACAGGTGCAGCCACATCCCTGGATGGATTTCACAGGTGTGGTGGCACCTGGGGACACGGTCAGTGGTGGCCTTGGCCTTGGTCCCCGTGCTGGGGAACACCTGGACTCGATGGTGTCCAAGCTTTTTCCAAGCTCGATGGCTTGGTGAAATTCCAGCTCTGCTTTAGCACTTTGGCCTCAGGGTCCTTTGATGATCTGGGTGGGGGCACCTTTGGAGTGGCAGCACGACCTTTGGTGGGGACTGCAGAGAGCCTTTGGTGGGGACAGCGAGCCCCGAGGGGTGAGGGATGGAAGGGATGGCAGGAGGGGATGGAAGGAGCAGCAGGAGGGGATGGAAGGAGCAGCAGGAGGGGATGGAAGGAGCAGCAGGAGGGGATGGAAGGGGCAAGAAGGGATGGAAGGAGCAGCAGGAGGGAGGGAAGGGGCAAGGAGGGATGGAAGGAGCAGCAGGAGGGGATGGAAGGAGCAGCAGGAGGGGATGGAAGGAGCAGCAGGAGGGGATGGAAGGGGCAAGGAGGGATGGAAGGGGCAAGGAGGGATGGAAGGAGCAGCAGGAGGGGATGGAAGGGGCAAGGAGGGATGGAAGGAGCAGCAGGAGGGAGGGAAGGGGCAAGGAGGGATGGAAGGAGCAGCAGGAGGGCTGTGAGGCCGGCCCGTGTTGGTGTGGCCCGGTGAATGGCCCATCAAGGACACCCCTTGGGAGGGACAAGGGACTCTTTGTTCTGCCCGGCGGGGCAGATGCAGCCTGTGAGTCGACGGTGGGAGATAAGGAGCAGCCTGGAGCCACCGAACAGCGGGATGGAGACAGAAGGCTCCCCGTGACTCAGAGGGCGGGGTGGGAGTGGAGGTGATGGTGCTGCTCCTCAGGAGTCACTGCCCCGCTGAGGACCAGGCACGATCAGCGGGTGTCTCTTGGGCAAGCTGCTGGACCAAAAGTCAGGGCTGGACGTTCTGGAGAGGGAGATTTACTTAAACAAAGCCAATTTCGCACTCATTTTGAGACTTTTGTTCGCTGAAGGTGTGTTGGAATAGCCTGATTGCTGTATTCCAGGCCTGCTTGGAGCAGCCTGGGGCAGTGGAAGGTGTGGATGAGCTTTAAAGGTCCCTTCCCACACAGAGGACGGTTCTATGCTATGATCTTCAGGCTTAATCTTTCATCAGTCACAGGCAAAGTGGCTGGTGCTGGTCTTTGTTCCTTCATTTGGGTATTCGTGCCCGTGGAGATAACAGGGAGAGGAAGGGAGATAACAGGGAGGGGAATGAAGAGCCCAGAGTGGCTGCTGAAAGGTTGGGACCGTTCTGTTGTCACTTCAGGGTTGTCTGCTGATTAAATCACTTGTGCCCCATATTCAGGCTCCTTTTGGTCTTGATGAAAGCACCAGATTCCTCTCGGGTTTGGTTTGATTGCTGTTGATGGTGCAGTTGATTATCGGCACCTGGCAGCTCTTGAAAGCCTTGTTTTGTTGCTCTTGCTGCTGCTCTCAGTCAATCTTCATTCCTGGCATTTGTGCTGCAAATACCCGGGGGCTGTCCTTGGGGTGGCACGATCTGTCAATCCTCGACTCCCCCAATCCTTCATCCCTTCAGGTCTCTCCCTGGTTTAACCCTTGGACAGATGTGAGCCAAGGCTCAGGAGTCCCGTGGTCAGGAGGGGGTTAATCTGAATAAACCCACTTTTACAATAACATGACCTTCCCTTCCTATAATCCAAACTTTGCTACGGCGTTGCCACATTCTCCCCTGCAACAACAAGCACAGGCTCGGAACAAGATAACCATGTCATATTTTGGGAGATATCGTTTAGCCTGGCTTCATTTTTCCTTCTGGAGTCGTGTCCAAGGGCAGCATAAACACAGAGACCATCTCGTGTCCTTGCTCGCTGCCTCGGAGATAACGGGAGCAGCCAGCACAGAAAGGCCCAGCCAAAGCTCTGAGCCACCAGAGAGCTCTGGCAGGGGAGGAGAGGAGCCCCAGATCTCCCCAAATCAGCCCCAGGGTGTGCAGTGTTCTTCCGAGGTCCATGTGGTTCTGGGTGTCCCTTCAGGAGCGGCCTGGGGCAGCAGAGAGCCCTGGGGAAGGGCCCCAGTTCACTCACTGGTTTGGTCCCCAGCTCACAGCACTGCTGGCACCCCTGGCCACATGGGCAGACCTGAGTTAGCAGGGAGTGAACTCCCCGAGGTTTGGGAGCAGCAGGGCACCAGCCCTGCCTCTGCAGGAGGCTGCATCATTGTCCGGGCCCTCTTGTCAGTGGGAAGCCATTCCCTTGTCCCCAGTCCCTCTCCAGCTCTCCTGGAGCCCCTTTAGCCCTGGCAGGGGCTCTCAGGTATCTCCTCTCCAGGTGAGCACCCCCAGCTCTCCCAGCCCCTGCCGCACCTTGCACTTGGCCCTGCTGAACTCCATGGCCTTGGCATGGTCCCAGCTCTCCAGCCTGCCCAGGTCCCTGAGGATTGCCCATCCCTGGGTCTCTGTCACCACCTGGCAGTGCCATGGAAGGGCTGGATCAGCCCTGTTTGGTGCTTGCGTGGACTCGGGCACACAGCAAAACATCAAGTGTTAGTCTTAGAAAGTAGAAAATTATGTGAAAAGCAGCCAGAAGAGCCCGTTCGATAATCAGGAAGAGGGAAGGGTTTTAATTGCCATGTTTTATAAACACGCAGCTCTTCCTCCCCAAACGCCCTGACTGCTCTTGGTGCCAACACCAGCAGCCTCCAAGGGAGACGTGGAGCTGGGGCTGTGGGCAGGAGCCAGCCCCTGCTGGGAGAGTGGAGGGTTGGGGTGAGAGGAACACCTGCCCTGCCCTGCTGGGGCTGTGGGCAGGGGGCAGCCCGTGCTGGGAGAGCTGCCCTGGTGGAGTGTGGAGGGCTGGGGTGAGAGGAACCCCTGCCCTGCTCTGCTGGAGCCAGGCTCCATGCCCGGCCAGCTGCAGGGACCCACCAGGGGATTGCTGCTGCCTCAGGGGGTCGGTGCTGCCGCCTGAGGGGTCGGTGCTGCCGCCTGAGGGGTCGGTGCTGCCTCAGGGGCCGGTTCTGCTGCCTGATGTGCTGCTGTTGCCCCACAGAGTTCTGCCGCATCGACAAGGCCCTGTGCCACGATGAGGACGAGCAGCTGAGCTTCGAGGCCGTGCGCAACATCCACAAACAGATGGACGACGACGCCAACGGCAACGTGGACGTGGAGGAGAGCGACGAGGTTGGTGCAGGGCTAAGCTGTGCCCGGTGGGGCCTTGAGCAGCTGGAACAGGGGTTACATGGAGTTATGGGCAGCAAAGAGGGTATTTATTGAAGAGACTTCAAAGGCCACACCCTGGCAGGACCGCAGCCACAGTCCTGGCTCTGCCCAAGCGGCTCCAAGATGGAAGCAAAAGAGCTTGGTCATGAGATGTCACATTTTTATAAGTTTTAGTCCATTTGCATACAGGAGCTAACTGTCCAACTAATAGCTTCAAATGATGAAGTTTCATCCTCCTTGCTCGCTTGCCCACCCTCATCTTTTTATGTTGTTTGTGCTTTGGGCCTGAAGTTAGAAGAGATTGTCCTTGAGTCTCCAGCTGGAATAGGATGGTTTTGTCTTCCCCACCCTGTGAAAAGATCCTAGTAACACTTAATATAAAGGTAAAATCTGCACACCAAAACAGAACAGAGAAACCTAAAACCCAAGGTATCACCAGGGCCTTGTCCAGCCCAGTGCTGGGCCTGCTCTCACAGTGAGGCTGCACTTGGGCTTGGTGCCTCTTCCTCAGCACAGAGGAAGCCACGTGTCACCTTGAGATGATCCAGGGGATGTCTCAGCACTGTCACCAGTGCTGGCTGGGGCTTCTCCTCCCTGCTGGGGGTTTGTAGTCACTTCATTGTTGTCAGAGCAGCTGTGGGTGTCCTATCCCTAAAAATGTCCAAGGCCAGGTTGGATGAGGCTTGGAGCAACCTGGGATAGTGGAAGGTGTCCCTGCCCATGGCAGGGGATGGAATTAAATGAGCTCTAATGTCCCTCCCAACCCAAACCATTCCATGATTTTATGTTTACTGCATTCTTGCGGCAGCCAACTAAAGCAGTTTCAGTCCGTGTGTGCTCACTGCTAAAAAAGGAGCAGCTTTTTGTTGTGTTAGCCTTAGAGATTTTAGCTGATAAAAGATTGAAGAGAAAGGAAGTTGTTGTTCTTTGTTTACACAAGCAGCGATGGAAACAAGAGTCTGCAGGAAAAGGGAAAGCTCTTTGTTTGCAGTGTTGCCTCAGTTGTGGTGGGTGCTCGTTGGAGGTGAGGAATTCTGTCTTGTAGGGAGGACTGGCAGCTAAACAGGAAAGGCAGAGTGTTGGAAGCAGAAAGAAGCACGTGGGTGCAGGGATGTGCTGCCACTCAGGGGTAGCTCTGCAGTCCCAGGTGACAGAACCCCAGACTGCTTTGGGCTGGAAGAGACCTTAAATCCACCCAGTGCCACCCCTGCCATGGCAGGGACACCTCCCACTGCCCCAGGCTGCTCCAGCCCCAGTGTCCAGGGATCCAGGGGCAGCCCCAGCTGCTCTTGCAAGCCCAGCCATCCCAGTGTCCCTCTGGAGCAGTGGCAGTCCCCAGGGACACGGCACAGGCCCTGGTGCCAGCAGCTGCTGGTTTTGGGTGGCTGTTCCCAGCTGGCAGGGCTGTTCCCTCTGCCTCAATCCCACTTGACTGAGTAATGAAAACAATTGAAAGGCTTCCAGTTGCATGTCCTCCACCTCTTGAGGTGTTTCCCTGGAGGCAGCTCCCTGGCCTGGGTGGCTCAGCCTCTCCCAGGGACTGGGGCAGCCTCGGGCAGCCCAGCTCAGCCCAAGTGTGCTGTTCCCTGGCATTAAATTAGGAATAATTCTCGTGTCCTTAGGGCTGGGCTGAGCTGGCAGTATTATGTCTCTGAGCAAATCTTGCCCCTGCTCTCACTGGAGTCATTGGGAGCCCCTGGTACAAACCCTGCTGGGAACGTGTGCTCAGAGCCTTGGCACAGGGACACTGCCAGGGTGGGAGGATTCAGTGGGATTTTCCAGGAGGCTGCAGAATCAGTGCCTTGGTGCTCCTACAGGCACTCCCCAAACCCCTCTGAGCCCTGCAGGGCTGCTCCTGCTCCCACACCTCTGCTCTGCTTTCAGCACAGAACAGGCCTGGAAAAGGATCTGGAGCACCAGGAGAGGCTGAGAGGGGGCTGAGGCTGGAGCAAAGGGGGCTCAGGGGCCCTTGTGGCTCTGCACAAGGCCCTGCCAGGAGGGCACAGCCGGGGGGGTCGGGCTCTGCTGCCAGGGAACAGGGACAGGAGCAGAGGGAGCGGCCTTAATTGAGCCAGGGGAGTTCAGCTTGGACACTGGGAAAATTCCTCCTGGAAAGGGCTGTCCAGCCTGAGTGGGGCACAGGGGCACAATCCCAATCCCTTTCCTGCTGCCCACCCTGTGGGATCAGCCCAGGGCACAGGGATTTAATCCCAATCCCCTTCCTGCTGCCCACGCTGTGGGATCAGCCCAGGGCACAGGGATTGCAGGTCCCAGTGCTCATGGCCAGGGCCTGTGCAGCTTCTCCCACCAATCCCCAGCTCCTTCTCCCAGGGCTGCTCCCAGCTCATTGTCCCCAGGCTGTGTTTGTGCTGGCATTGCCCCCAGCCAGAGCACTCAGGTTGTTGCATTTACAGTTGGACTCCATGATTTTGGAAGTCTTTTCTGACTTAGTGGTTCCCTGTCCCTGGATTCCATCCATGCAGCTGCTGCTTTACCTCTGCTAAGCTTTCATTGAAGTTGCATTAGGCTCACCTGTCAATGAGCTCTGGAGCCTCTCAGTGAGGCATTGCAGGAATTTCCCTCTCTGAGCTGGCTCTGCCGTGTTCTCCCTGTCAAGGTTATCACTGTCCCCCACATGGACCCTGCAGTCAGGTTTGACTCTGGGCTGTGGGGGGACAGCTGCTGGGGGATTATTGGGAAGAATGCAGGAGGCTCAAATTTAAACCTTTTATGGGGTTCGTGGGCTTCCAGGATGCTCTGGTTGGGAGGGACTTTTAGCCTCATCCAGCCCCACCACCTGCCATGGGCAGAGACACCTTCCATTATCCCAGGTTGCTCTAAGCCTGGTCTAGCCTGGATTGGAACACTTCCAGGGATGGGCATTTTCCTGATTGGCTGAGAACTTGATATTTTCATTTATTATTTTGGCCCCTACCCTTTGGGGGTCAGTGATGGGAGTGTTTTGTTGGGGCTGACACCCCTGCCTGGGCAGAAGGGGACACACAGACAGCACAGGTATTTTTAAAATAAATGATGGGTGGGGTTGTGTCCCACAGCTTCACGCTGTCCATACATCATCCTTGCAGTTTCAGTGAAGTTTCAGATGACATCAATGGCCTCAATTAAAGTAAAAGAACTGTCCCTCATGGGGAAATCTTCTAATTAGGGATCTATTCCTGTCTGCACGCTCACAGCAAAGGCAGCTCTGGCTCTTCGGGCTGTGGCTGCCCGGTGCCAGGGCTCTGGGATGCTGCCAGCCTGGTTTCCTCAGGAAACAAGGTTTGTGTTGCTGCCCAGCTCCTCCCAGAGCCGGGTCCCGCTGCCTGGGCTCGCTGGCTGGGGAAGGCCTTGGAGCCAGGAGCTTTGTGTCCCTCTGGGGCAGCTGCTGGGGTTGGGGAGCACAGGGAGCTGCCAGCACGTGCCTGGGTCCGGCCCTTGGCTGGGCTCAGCAGGAGCTGGTGCTAGGGAAGGAGGGTGGCACACATCCAGGGCTGTGGGAGGGATGGGAAGCCTTGAAAAATCACTCCAGTAGCTGCAGTTTCTGCAGATAAAAAAACCACAGAACAGAGTTCAAGGGGAGGTTGGACAAGGCTCTCAGGCACAAGGTGGGGTTGTTGGGGCTGTGCAGAGCCAGGACTTGGACTTGATCCCTTTGGGTCCCTCCCAACTGAGGAGATTCTGTGATTCTATGGAAAAAAAACCCTCCAGAAAATCCCATTTAGTGGATCTGCTCATTTCTGAGTGTGCCTTCAGCCAGCATGTTTGTCCCCAGTCCCTCTGCAGCTCTGCTGGAGCCCCTTCAGGCCCTGCCAGGGGCTCTGAGCTCTCCCTGCAGCTTCTCCTGTGCAGGTGAGCACCCCCAGCTCTCCAGCCTGGCTGCAGAGGGGCTCCAGCCCTGGAACAGCCCCATGGCTCCTCTGGGCTCTCTCCAGCAGCTGCAGGTCCTCCTGCTGTTGGAGGCCCCAGAGCACCAAGATCAGCATTCCCAGGCTGAGTCTTCCCACTGTGATCCCAGCTCCTCCTGGGGTTTGTACCAGTGGTTCTGGTCCTGTTGCTTTTGGCTGGTTTGACCAGGGTTTGCCTTTCCTGCACTTGGTGGGGAGACTCAGGTCTGACTGAGTTTCCTTGTGGATTCACAGCCTGGCTGAGGCTGGGGCGGTCTGGATGGGATCCCGGAGATGGTCTGTGGGACCTTGGCAATGGTCTGGCCCACCCTGTGTCCAGGGCTCAGAGCTTTGGGTGTCTCCAGGCCCGGGAGCAGTGGGATCTTTAACACTGGGAAGTGCTGCTTGTCAGTGGTTTGCAAGGAGGGCAGTGCTCTGCACAGTGCTTCGTGTGCCTGGGGTTTGCAGTATCTGGGATAGTGGAAGGTGCTCCTGTCCGTGCCAGGGTGGGACTGGGTGGACTCTAAGGTCCTTCCCAACCCAAACTAGTCTGGGACTCCATGATTTTGTCTTTTCCCCAGAAGCTACTGGTGGCAAATGTGCTTTAAGGTCTGTCTGGGCTTTGGTGGGCTCAGCCAGCTCCCCCAGCCCCATCGTGCATCCTCTCCCTGCTCATTTATCGGGACATTCCCCAGCCTGGCTCCGTCCCCTGCGCCGAGTCCTCAGGTTTGCTCTGGCCCCCATGAGCCCAAGGGAGGCTGAGGGATCACCTTTCCTTTCTGTGCTCCCGAGCTAAATATACAGAGCAGCAGCTGACTGCTGTGCTGGGAGCTGGGGCTGGAGCAGGGCCGGTGACATTGGTGGCATCGGTGACATTGGTGACATTGCCATGTTCCCACTCGGTCACGGCGGCACCCACGGGGACAGGGCTTGGCACAGCTGGAGCCCCGAGGCTCAGCCCCTGCTGAGACAGACATTTTATCTACATTCTCCCATTATCCACATTTCCCCAAATTCTCCCAGTTTCCACATTTCCCCACATTCTCCCGGTTTCCCCATTTCCCCAATTCTCCAGTTTCCACATTTCCCCACATTCTCCCAGTTTCCACATTTCCCCACGTTCTCCCATTCTCCCCACTTCCCCAATTCTCCAGTTTCCACATTTCCCCACATTCTCCCATTTTTCCCCACTTCCCCAATTCTCCAGTTTCCCCATTTCCCCAATTCTCCAGTTTCCACATTTCCCCAATTCTCCAGTTTCCACATTTCTCCAAATTCTCCCATTTTCCACATTTCCCCACATTCTCCTATTCTCCCATTCTCCCCAATTCTCCAGTTTCCCCATTTCCCCAATTCTCCAGTTTCCACATTTCCCCATATTCTCCCATTTTCCACATTTCCCCAAATTGTCCAATTTTCCACATTTCCCCAATTATCCAGTTTCCACATTTCCCCACATTCTCCAGTTTTGACATTTCCCCAATTATCCAGTTTCCCCATTTCCCCACGTTTCCCCACGTTTCCCCACGTTTCCCCACGTTTCCCCACGTTTCCCCACATTTTCCATTTTCCTGTGTTCTGGGGGGCAGGAATTGCGCTGGCAGCCTTTGGGCAGCAGGGCAGAGCCCCAGGCTGGAGCTGCCTCCCTGGCTTTGCAGGGAGCCTGGCATCTAAAGCTGCCCAGATCTCCTTTCTGCCCTGTATGATGTAAAAACACCATCTATGGCTCTGAGGTGTTTTTTGGGTGTGGGTATCATCCTGTTGGACGTGGAAGAGCCCAGGGATGAAGCTGTGTGTGTGGGGATCATGTCCTGGGGAGTGGGAATGTGGAATTATCCTTGAACTTGGTCCCACCTGTTGGGCACTGGAGTGTGAGTGGTTCTCTGTCTGCTGGTGGATTTGGGTTGGGAAGGACCTCAGAGCCCACCCAGTGCCACCCCTGCCATGGCAGGGACACCTCCCACTGTCCCCAGTGTCCAGCCTGGCCTTGGGCACTGCCAGGGATGCAGGGGCAGCCCCAGCTGCTCTGGGCCCCCACTGAGCTGGGATACATAGATTTATTTCTATTTTTCAGTGCAACTGCCTCCCCTCCTGCCCGTGGCATTTGTTCCAGCTTGGATTTGAAGGTGCAGGTCAAATCCAGTAATAATTCTTGGGTTCTTACTCCAGTGACATAAAGCTGGTTTCATTGTGCCACTTAGGTGAATTTTTGGTGTTACTATAATTCAAAGAAAAGTCTGGAATCCCAAGACTGAAGGTTCTAATTAATTATCCCTTCTCTGTATTAAAAGGAATTTATTGTATTTACTTATTGAGTACTTCCTGGCTCATCTTCCCAGGAACAGAGATTTTCAGGGGTACTGCAGGGAATATACTTATATCTGTATAAAAGATAGATGTATAAATCTAGTATATCTATTATATTTATGGGGTTTTTTTTAATTCAGATTTGCTATGACTTTCCCATCAAAACTATTACTCTTCAGAATTTTTTTATGCTCCTCATCTCCCTAAAAGATGAACCAAAGCTTAATCCTGCTGTTAATTCCTCTCCTAGTTCTTGAGGGAAGACTTGAATTACCATGACCCAGCAGTCAAGCACAGCACTTTCCATGGAGAGGACAAGCTCATCAGTGTGGAGGACCTCTGGAAGGCCTGGAAAACATCAGAAGGTAAAAAAGGGCAAAAAGCCAAGAAATCCTTTCCCAAGAGTGCCAGACAGTTTGGATTGCAGATGCCCTGGGCAGGGCGTGCATCTCAAGAGGATTGTGCTGCTTTTCCTCCCTTGTACCAGGCCTTGTGCCCTTCCAGCTCCCTTTTTGAGGTGTGGATTCCCAGGATTTCCTCAGGGTTGGTCGTTCCAAACTGTTCCTGCTGCACCTGAGGGTGGCCACCAAAGGATCAGTTCTTGTTTTGTTCCTCTGCCCTAGAAATGTGTGTAAAATACGGCCAAATTCAGGTTCTTCACACACCTAGTTCCAGATGGAATTGTAATGGAGTGATTTATCCTAAATATTCAGTAGATATCCTAAATATTCAGTAGAGCTGCTTGGGAGCTTTTCTGCAGGTTGTGTTTTCTTTAAAAGAAATGTTTTTAACCTGAAAAGCTCCTTCACAGTGAAAAGAAGGGAGAATAAAATCCAGGAAGTGTCATAAGTACACTCCATGTGGAAATAACTTTTAGCTGTTCCAAAATGCTGTTATTTATCCCAGCACCCAGGGAGGTGGTGGGAGTTCAGCCTCTGCTGAGAAACTTCCTGAAACCTGGGAATCTTGGAACAAAGTTTAAGATTGGCAAGTGCTTCCCCAGTGCTTTCACACTGAATTCCACAGAAATCATTAATCCAGTTTTTTTTCAGTGCTCCTCATCTCTAAAAGAGGAGTTCTGTGTATGTCCATCCCTGAAATAATGGATGTTAATCTTCTAATCAGTTCACCAGCCACAGAAATTTCAGTTTCTCATTGGTGTCCTGTTGGTGTTTGACTTTTCTGTATTAGCCCTTAAATTCCTGTGGGGGGATGTGCTCTGTGTTTCAGAGCTGTGGGTGCAGCTGCAGGGAGTGCAGCAGCCCCTCCCATTCCCAGGAGCTCTGAGTGAGGGGCAGCATCTGCAGCAGGGATTGGAAACAGTGGAGAGGAGAAGCTGCAGGGAGAGCTCCGAGCCCCTGGCAGGGCCTGCAGGGGCTCCAGCAGAGCTGCAGAGGGACTGGGGACAAGGCCTGCAGGGACAGCACCCAGGGAATGGCTGCCAGTGCCAGAGGGCAGGGCTGGGTGGGATCTTGGCAATGAGGAATTGTTCCCTGGCAGGGTGGGCAGGCCCTGGCACAGGGTGCCCAGAGCAGCTGGGGCTGCCCCTGCATCCCTGGCAGTGCCCAAGGCCAGGCTGGACACTGGGGACAGTGGGAGGTGTCCCTGCCATGGCAGGGGTGGCACTGGGTGGGATTTGGGGTCCCTGCCAACCCAAAGCTTTCCCTGTTTCTGTGATATCCGTGTGACAATTCCAGAGCTGTGTATCCCAGACCAGACTCTCCCATGGAGCTGGACAGGGATGTGTTGACAATTCTTGCCCACAGCACTCTAGGAGAGTGGCACAGTTGCCCAGGACAGGGAGGGAAGCACATCCTGGGGGGATGTCACAGCCCTCTGGATGTGGCACTTGGGAACACGGTCAGGGGTGGCCTTGGCCGTGCTGAGGGTGGCTGGACTCTGGGCTCAGACGGGTTTTCCAGCCAAAGGGGTGCTGTGATTCCATGACTGAGTCCCTGTGCCTCTTGTATGCCAGGAGTGTCTCCTGTAAGAAATATTTATCCCATTACAGGCTGTTTACATGTGGCTTTGCCTGGAGTGTGTTTTGCTGTCAGCTGGGAAAGGGTCGAAACCATTAAGGAACGGAGGAGAACATCCCTTGATACTCAGCAGGCCCCTAACTGCTGAGCTGCCCTGGCTCTGTCCCTGCCCCCAGCACACCCAGGGCCTGGCAGGGCTGCCATGGCACTGTGGGTGTCCAGTGCTGCACTCAGCTCCTGCTCTTGTTTTGCCTTTCATCATCTTTAGATCTGGCTGATAGAATGAGTGACTGGATTCTGAAGGGCACCCTGATGTCATGGAATCACAGAGAGTTTGGGATGGGAGTGACCTCAAATCCCAGCCAGTGCCACCCCTGCCAGGCAGGGAGCCTTCCACCGTGCCAGGCTGCTCCCAGCCCCAGTGCCCAGCCTGGCCTGGGACACTGCCAGGGAAACGTGAAGCCTGATTTTGGAGTTTGAGCTGAAGTCATGAATCAGGCTTGTAGGAAAGGTCTGCTCCCTCCTGGGCGTGTGAAAAGCAGCTGTGAAGGGCCCTGACATCCCACAGGGATGGGGTGGCTGGGCCTGTGTCATTTCTTTTCAGGGCGTTGCTTTTCCTTCCTTCCATTGCTGCTGTTCCTGGGCACATGTGGAAAGTAAAAAGATATTTCTGCCCGTGAGTTATGGCAGAAGATAAAGGCTGTGATGCCCTTACGAGGTGCTGGGTCTGAGGGATGGCACCTGCGTGAGCCTGGCTCTGCCAAAGCTGTTGGAAGTGATGGCAGATCAGCCCCTGGGTGAGGAGGCAGGGCAGGGTCCTGCCCATCTGTGCCTGTGCTTCTCAGGGATTCTTCCCCAAAGAAACACGGCTGTGCATGGCAGTGAGAGGAGCCAGGGGCTCTGGAGATGGGGATGTGTTCTCATGGCAGTGAGAGGAGCCAGGGGCTCTGGAGATGGGGATGTGTTCTCATGGAAGCGAGAGGAGCCAGGGGCTCTGGAGGATGGGGATGTGGCCTCATGGCAGTGAGAGGAGCCAGGGGCTCTGGAGATGGGGATGTGTTCTCATGGCAGTGAGAGGAGCCAGGGGCTCTGGAGATGGGGATGTGTTCTCATGGCAGTGAGAGGAGCCAGGGGCTCTGGAGATGGGGATGTGTTCTCATGGCAGTGAGAGGAGCCAGGGGCTCTGGAGGATGGGGATGTGTTCTCATGGCAGTGAGAGGAGCCAGGGGCTCTGGAGATGGGGATGTGTTCTCATGGCAGCGAGAGGAGCCAGGGCCTCTGGAGGATGGGGATGTGTTCTCATGGCAGTGAGAGGAGCCAGGGGCTCTGGAGATGGGGATGTGTTCTCATGGCAGTGAGAGGAGCCCAGGGGCTCTGGAGGATGGGGATGTGTTCTCATGGCAGTGAGAGGAGCCAGGGGCTCTGGAGATGGGGATGTGTTCTCATGGCAGCGAGAGGAGCCAGGGCCTCTGGAGATGGGGATGTGTTCTCATGGCAGTGAGAGGAGCCAGGGGCTCTGGAGATGGGGATGTGGCCTCATGGCAGTGAGAGGAGCCCAGGACTGGCAGTGCTGCTGCCTGGGGATGTGGCCTCACTCCCTGTGGCAAGTGCCACATGGGAGAGGTGGCTTCTCCCATCCTCCCATCATTGGCATCCTGCTGGTGCCCACAGCCGCAGGTGTCACCCCATGTGTGGGACAGTGACCAGCACTGTAGGGAGGGTTGGTGGCCTCGTCTGTGCCACCCTCCACCTGGGTCACCGTGCCAGCGTCTGTGGGGATGGCACCTTCCTTTGGAGCCTTGCTATCCTTGCTTGGTGCTGGGCTCTTCCTCTGCTCCCTCAGCTTCATCAGCTTCATCATCTCAGCTTCATCCACTCAGTTAGCTCTGAGCTCACTTGTCTCTCCCAGATCCCTCGTCTCTCTCATCTGTGTCATTCTCTGAGCTCCATCTCTCTCAGCTCTGTGAGCTCTCTCAGCTTCCTCATCTTCATCTTTCTCCTCTTCATCAGTTCAATCAGCTCTCTGAGCTTGCTCATCTCTCTCAGCTCCCCCATCTGTCACAGCTCCATCTCCCTCATCTCTCCCAGATCTCTCATCTCATTTCTCTGAGCTCCATCTCCCTCCTCTCTCTCAGCTCCTCTGTGTCCCCCAGCTCCCTCGTCTCTCCCAGATCACCCATCCCTCCTCTCCCTCACCCCTCAGCTCCCCATGGGAGGCACTGGGCTCCCTGGAGCTTGAGCAGATGTTTCTGTGCTCGTGTGCCCAGTCAGGGTTGCATTGCAGCAGAGCCAGGCAGCCCTGCCAGGGCCAGGGGATGATAAACTCAAGTGCAATTAAGTCCCTTCTGTCCAACAAACACATCTGCTGTGTCCCAGGCCAGGTTGGACATGGCACTGGGACAGCGGAAGGGTCCCTGCCATGGCAGGGGTGGCACTGGGTAGGATTTTAGGTCCCTCCCAACCCAAACCAGTCTGGGATTCTGGGATTGTGTTTGCCTTCAGATCATTGCTCTAAGTGCAGCACAACAAAGCAGCAAAGGCAGGAGCTTGATTTCCTAAGGTTTCCTCACTTATGGCTCCATAAATAATGCACAGATGCTCGGGGAGGAGGTTAGGGAGCAGAGTTCACCTGGTTCACTTGGGCTGCAGCACCTGCTCCACCTCCTCCCTCAGATCCTTTCTCAAGCTGCTTCCAATGGGTTTTTTTCCAGCACAGCTCCGTGAGCTTTGCTTAGTCAAAGCTCAGGGAATCCCAGAATCACAGAGGTCCCAGTTTGGGTTGGGAGGGACCTCACAGCCACCCAGTGCCACCCCTGCCATGGCAGGGACGCCTCCCACTGTCCCCAGTGTCCAACCTGGCCTTGGGCACTGCCAGGGATGCAGGGCAGCCCCAGCTGCTCTGGGCACCCTGTGCCAGAGCCTGGAGCAGGGAGTGAGGCTTTGGGAGCTGACCCCAGAATTCAGGACCTTTGGGCACGTGCTGAGGATGAGCTTTCCCTGTTGGAGTGTGGAGGCAGCAGGATCCCCTGGCTGATGGAAACCCCAGTGATGCCAGCTTTGGGTCACCTGCCAGTGCTTTGGGTGTTGCCCTGCCAGGGTGCCCAGCCCGAGCCCTGCTGGTGCGATGGCACGAGGTGGGGCCTCCTCTGCTCCTCTATCTGATGGCCTCATTGCATGTGTTAATTCTGGGAACTGGGAGCACGGGGGCAAAGCAGCCCTGGGAAAGGTGTGTTGTGACAGAGAAAGCTCCAGGCAGCTCCTCCCATGGCATGAGGGGTCTGTGGGGGCTCAGGGGCAGCAGAACCTCAGGAGCTCCTCATGGGCAAAAATGGTCCCACAGGGGGGAGGCTGAGGTCCTGCAGGACTACCTGGATTGTCCCAGTGCCAGAGGGCAGGGCTGGGTGGGATCTTGGCAATGAGGAATTGTTCCCTGGCAGGGTGGGCAGGCCCTGGCACAGGGTGCCCAGAGCAGCTGGGGCTGCCCCTGCATCCCTGGCAGTGCCCAAGGCCAGGCTGGGCACTGGGGACGGTGGGAGGTGTCCCTGCCATGGCAGGGGTGGCACTGGGTGGCTGTGAGGTCCCTGCCAGCCCCAGGCTGTGGCTCCCTGGTGCCCGTGCCCCCCACGAGCTGTGCTGTTGTGCTCTCTGCAGTGTACAACTGGACGGTGGACGAGGTGGTGCAGTGGCTCATCTCCTACGTGGAGCTGCCCCAGTACGAGGAGACCTTCCGCAAGCTGCAGCTCAGCGGCCACGCCATGCCCAGGTCAGTGCCCGTCCTGGCTCAGTGCCATGCCCAGGTCAGTGCTGTGCCAGGGGCAGTGCCAGGCCTGTGTTAGTGCCAGTCCCAGGTCAGTGCCATGGCCAGGTCAGTTGTGCTCTCCCTGGCAGGGTGGGCAGGCCCTGGCACAGGGTGCCCAGAGGAGCTGGGGCTGCCCCTGCATCCCTGGCAGTGCCCGAGGCCAGGCTGGGCACTGGGGTCGGAGCAGCCTGGGACAGTGGGAGGTGTCCCTGCCATGGCAGGAGTGGCACTGGGTGGGATTTAAAATCCCTCCCAACCCAAACCATTCCATGATTCCATGGAAGAGTAGCACTGGCTGTGATTCAACATAAACAGGTTTGAAAAATGTCAGTGCAGCTTTTTTGGATAAAGGTTCCTGTTGCTGGAAAAGGGCCTTTTCAGCTGACTGGGAAGGAGAGAATTACTGGGGATAAAATGAGGATGGTTTTGAGGCAGCACAATGAGTGTCCACATCCCTTCCAAGGGAGAACTGTGGTTTGTGGTCTGTGACACAGGATGGAAAGCCAATGGAGATTTGGTTAAAAAACACTTAATAGTGATTGGTAGGACACCAAAAGATGGGTTTTGATGGGATATCAGTTCCTCATGCTGTCAGGTAATGAATTAGGCCTGGCCCTGGTTTTTCCTGCTCTCTTCCAGTCCTAGAAATGCTGCTGCAAAGTGTGTGGTTAGAGACAACAGCAGTGAGGGATGTGCCCTGGTAGCAGGGAGCTCCAGGCCCCGCTGTGCATCTCCCTGATGCCTGCCGGCCCTGGTGGCTGTGCCCACAGCAGTTTTTGTCCCCTGTTGTGCAGGCTGGCAGTGAACAACGCCACCATGATGGGCACGGTGCTGAAGATGACCGACCGCAGCCACCGGCAGAAGCTGCAGCTCAAGGCCCTGGACACGGTGCTCTTTGGGCCTCCTCTGTGTGAGTACCCAACCCCACCTGCCAGCCCTGGGAACCACCCCCAGGGCCACCGGAGCCACTTCTGGGTGACACAGAGTGCCCAGCACAGCCTCACCAGGGGAGTCATCCCAGCACAGATACCCTGGAGCAGGAATGGTTGGTCCTGGGTTTGTGGGAGCAGCTCTGTAGCCTGGAGCATCCTGGGCTGGCATTCCCATCTCAGAGGGCTCTCCCAGAGGTGCAGCTGGCATCTCCCACTGTGCTGCTGGGATCTCCTGTGTCCACAGGGTAAATAAAGCCTGCTGCCCCTCTGTGGTGCTGATGGTGCTGGAGGGCAGCAATCCTGCCTGCTCCCAGGGCAGCTGCTGCCATGTCCTGGAGCTCTGTCAGCATCTCCTGGGCTTTCCTGGGGCTCCACTGTCCTGTCCTGAGGCTCTGCTGGTGACTCAGGCTGTAAACCTGCCCACCTCTGGAGGAGGGGAGGGGCAGCAGGCTGGATGGGAAGTTTAGGGTGGTGCTGGGAGGCCCGGGGCTCCTTTGATGCCTTATCAGGATCTCAAGCTCTCTGATGTGTGTCTCCACGCTCCAGGTGCTCCCTCTGGCTCCTGTCTGCTCCCTATTGAAGGCGCTTTTGTCTCTCTGCTCCTCTGGGCTTTGGGTGCAGAGGGGTGGAACCCCCCTTTCTGCTGCCCATGCTGGGGAATTTTGGGGTCCCAGTGCTCATGGCTGGGGCATTTCTGGCCTCTCCCACCCCAGCACCCCCAAGTCCTTCTGCCCAGGGCTGCTCTCCAGCCATTCCCACCCAATCCTGGGAAGCTGCCTGAGCAGTGTGAGCCACAGTGTGAGGCTTGGCAGGGCCACAGGGAGCAAATCACCAGCCTGGCTTGCACAATCAGCCATTTTGGTCACAGTTACTGACAAGCCTCTTTTTGCACAGGCACAGTTTGGTGTTTATTTATTGCCTGTGGTAAATGTGAAGCTTTTTGATGCCTGGGTGGCTCCAGCCCAGCGACTCCTGTGCTGGGGGCAGAACTTCTGCAGAGTCGTTGTGCTGTGTAAAGGGCAGAGTGAATGGCTTGTGCTGGCTGGGAGTTAATGGCCGTTGCCACGCTGGAGCTGTTTGTTCTGCCCTGCAGCTCCCTGGCCCTGCAGCCTGGCCCTCCCTGGGCACAGAGATCAGAGTGTGCAGGGAGCCGTGGGGCTGCTCACACCCTCTCACTCCTGCTGGAGCTCTCCAGGCCAGCCTGGGCTGCTGGGAGGTGCCCCTGCTCTCAGCACCTCGCAGGAGCTGGGGTGGGATGGGCTTGGAGGTCCCTCCCAACCCAAACCATTCCATGGTTCTATATCCAGGGTGTCTTAGAAGTGGAAATACACTTTAAATCTGCAGCTGAAGGAGGGATTGATCCCTTTTCAGAAGGCAAAATTGGCTGGTTTCTGGTCACCTGAATGGCTTTGTCTCCATTCAAGGGGAGAGGTTGTTTATCTAAACCAATTCCTGCAGGAATGGATTGCACAACGCTTGCAGGAGCCAGCAGCAAGTGGCAGCTTGGGCAGTGCTCGGTGACCTTCCAAGCTGCAGAAGCTGCTTTACACCTCCTTGCCGTGCTCAGGGGAGGTGGCTCTGGAGGGGAGCTGGGCTCTGGGGCTCTCTGAGCTGCTGGCAGGGGGATGTGGTGCACAGGTGCACAGTTCAAGGGTTTGTCTCCTCCCTTGAAGCTCTGTTCACCACTGGTGTAAAAGCTTTGATAAAAGCAGCCTCAGTTGGAGCCCCAGGCGTCCTGCAGGCTCCTAAATGCAGACCTGCTGCCCATGGGGATCACAGCAGGTGGACACAGTGCTGTTCCTGCTGCTGGGGGAAGCTTTCCCAGCCCAGGCCTCCAGGGGTGGGTGTCTGGCCCGTGGCAGAGGTTCCAGCCAGATTCCATGGCCGGTTTCCATGTGGATCTGCAGGCTCCTGCCATCCCTCCAGGTCTGGTCCCTGCTGCCAGGCTCCAGCCCTGCCATCTCCTCCAGCAAACAGGTCTGACCACTTCAGCTCTGTAATTAATCCAAGTGCAAGGGTGCGTGGTGCAATTATAATCTGAGCAACATGAGATGATTCCTCCTGTGTCTGTCCCTTTGGGGTCCGGTTCCTGTGGTTCAGGAATTGATCTGGCACAAAATAGCACAACTTCAGGTGAAACATGGAATCCCAGACTGCTTTGGGTAGGGAGGGACCCTAAATCCCACCCAGTGCCACCCCTGCCATGGCAGGGACACCTCCCACTGTCCCCAGTGTCCAGCCTGGCCTTGGGCACTGCCAGGGATGCAGGGGCAGCCCCAGCTGCTCTGGGCACCCTGTGCCAGGCCCTGCCCACCCTGCCAGGGAACAATTCCTCACTGCCAAGATCCCACCCAGCCCTGCCCTCTGGCACTGGCAGCCATTCCCTGGGTGCTGTCCCTCCATCCTTGTCCCCAGTCCCTCTGCAGCTCTGCTGGAGCCCCTGCAGGCCCTGCCAGGGGCTCGGAGCTCTCCCTGCAGCTTCTCCTCCCCAGGTGAGCCCCCCCAGCTCTCCCAGCCTGGCTCCAGCCCCTCTGGGCTCTCTGCAGCAGCTCCAGGTGCTCCTGCTGCTGGTGTCCCAGGGCTGGAGGCTCTGCAGGTGCAGCTCTGCTGCTTTTGGGACAGAACTTTCTGTAATTTGATCTCTTTCCCTGCTGCTCCTGTGCCCTGGGCCACAGGCTGAGGGCACCCTCAGATTGTTCCTGTGCACTGGATTGTGATTTAAATGCCCTGGCTTTGTCCCTGGCCCTCGGCAGGGTTGGCACGGCCTGTCCTGCTCCCAGCAGCAGGCAGGCCTGGGCTCACCCTACACCTGCACAGGCTGCAGGAACAGCCACGTGCCCCATGGAAAACAGGCTTCTCCCACTTCCCCATTGCCTTGTTTTGGGAAAGGAGGGAGAGCGGGCACAGTTTTATCACAGACTGATTGTTGTGCTCAGCTGCAGGACTTGATGTCCTGCTGGGCTTGCAGCTCTGCCTGGGCTTGGTGTTTGAAATAAGTGAAATGATTCAAAAAGGGAGGAAGGTCTGGAGCTGCAGGAGGGTTGGTTGGGATTAGATACCAGAAAAAAGCATCTACAATGAAGGTGAGAAAATGGAGATGCTCCCAGGGTTAGAGCCCCTCTGCTCTGGGGTGCCAGGCCGAGGGGGCATGGCTGCCAGTGCCAGAGGGCAGGGCTGGGTGGGATCTGGGCAATGAGGAATTGTTCCCTGGCAGGGTGGGCAGGCCCTGGCACAGGGTGCCCAGAGCAGCTGGGGCTGCCCCTGCATCCCTGGCAGTGCCCAAGGCCAGGCTGGGCACTGGGGACAGTGGGAGGTGTCCCTGCCATGGCAGGGGTGGCACTGGGCTGGATTTAGGGTCCCTCCCAACCCAAACCATCCTGGCATTTCATGCTCTACATTTCCTTCCAAGCTGAGTTTTCCTCAGAGTTTCCTCATGCCCGTGTCTGTCACTATAGGACACGAAATGACACGATGTGCATACACACTGCTGTTCTCAAGGCAAAAAAGGGAAGTTTATTTTCTGACTCCACCATTTATAGATTTCTAAAAGTGACAGTGGTTTGGAGGGTGACAGTGCCACCTCTCCAATGACACTGGACAAACCAACAGTCCATCAATTTCTCTTCCTCCATAAAAGAATAAGTTATTCACATAAAGTGTGTGAAAAAGTTTTCTACAAGAATGTAAACATTAGAAGGCTTAGAGAAACTTAAAAAATCAGGGAGACACATGTCTTTGGCCAGGGCTGGTGCAGAGGCAGGATGTGTGCAGTGCTGCTGTGCCGGAGCTGAGCCCCGCTGGCACCAGGGGCAGGCCCAGCTGGGGGGGCTGGCAGGGAATGGCCCAGGGGGGCCGGAGAGCGGGGCTGTGGGAGGGTGGGACACACAGCACTCCCCAGCTGGGAGCTGCAGGCATTGCCAGGAGCTGCTCCCTCGGAAGGGGATGTTGTGCTGATCCGTCCGGAGGGGAGCGGGGCCAGCGCTCCCCTTGTTTGGCTCTGAGGGCTGGAGTTACCCGGGCTGCTTGCAGGGACTGATGGATCGCAGGTGCTGCTTGCCTGGCTCCTGGGCCTGGGGAGGGCTCCTGTCCCTCTCCCTGTGAGGGGAAGGCTCTGCAGTGTGGGCAGGGAGCAGCAGCCCTGTCCTCATGTGTCCATCCAGGTCAGTCTGTGCTGTGCTCTGCCTTCCCAGTTCAGGTTTCCACCTGCCAGGTCCCCTCGTGTCCCCCCAGCTGTGCCAGATGTGATTTAGCTGTGACCAGAGAACAGCTGGGCTTGGGAGGGGCTGCAGCTCCCGTCTAACCCACCCCTGCCATGGCAGGGACTCCTCCACAGCCACAGCTTCTCTGGGCACCCTGTGCCAAGGCCTGCCCCCTCAGTACAGATATTTTTTTCCCTGGATCTGGTGTGAATTGCCTGTTGTTTGTTCAAAACCAGTGGATACTGATCATTAAGTCCCAGCTCTCTGGACTGAGCTGCTCTTTCATTTGTGGCTTTTCTACCACACACTTGGTTGAGTTACAGGAAAAAATCTGCTTGACTCATCTTTTGGGCTTTGTTTAGCACTTGAGCCCCCACTTAATTACTTTCATCCTCTCACATGCATCAACACCTTTTTTTGAATTTACTGTTGAATAAGGGAATTTCCACACTGAGTTGTGATTCTGATGGAAAGCTTGGCAGCTTGACAGTTGGACACTTGAGCTGCCCCAGCTCTGTGATCTCAGCAGTGTTTGTCCAAGTGTTTATTTTGTCCTTAGTTACCTGTGCTGCCCTGTGAGATCACAGCCATTCTGGAGGGGTTCCTCTGTGCAGTTTCCCCTCTATCACTTATTGCCAGGCTAATTGGAGCTGGAAGATTTGCAATTTCACCTTTTTTGTTGTTGTTGCTGTCTCTAAATTGAATAAGTGTTGTCAAGCTTCTGGTTTCCCTCTGAAATATTGACCCAGCTCAACTTTCCCCTCAGTGAATCCTGTGCCACAATTCCCTATAGGACTGCCCTGAGTTCTCCTGTCCTGCTCTGGTGCAGCAGAGCCCTTTGGAGTCTCCCAGTGCTGCTTTGGCCCCAGCCGTGTCTCTGGTCTCTTGCAGTGTTTTTCCAAGTGTTTATTTTGTCCTTAGTCACCTGTGCTGCCCTGTGAGATCACAGCCATTCTGGTGGGGAGTGGCTCTGTGCAGTTTCCCCTGTACCGCTTACTGCCAGGCAAATTGGAGCTGGAAGATTTGGAGTTTATCTCCATTGTTGCTGTTGCTGTCTCCAAACTGAATAAATATTGTCAAGCTTCTGTTTTTCTCCTGAAACATTGAAACAGCTCAACTTTCCCCTCGGTGAATCCTGTGCCACAATTCCTTACAGGACTGCCCTGAGTTCTGCTGTCCCACCCTGGCTCTTTGGAGCCCTTTGGAGCTCTCCAGTGCTCCTTTGGCCCCAGCCGTGTCTCTGGTCTCTTGCAGTGACTCGTCACAACCACCTCAAGGACTTCATGCTGGTGGTGTCCATCGTCATCGGCGTGGGCGGCTGCTGGTTCGCCTACATCCAGAACCGCTACTCCAAGGAGCACATGAAGAAGATGATGAAGGACCTGGAGGGTCTCCACAGGGCTGAGCAGTCTCTCCATGACCTGCAGGAGAGGTAGGTTCCCATTGTCCATCCAGCTGGAGCGCTCAGCTCTTCCTGCACGCTTCTGTTCCTTCGGGTTTCAGGAAATGCCGGTTTTGAGCTGTTTTTAGCTGTTTTTGGCTGTCCTGGTGCCTCACACCAGAGTCAGCCCCTTCCTGAGGGACTGGCAAAGCTGCCAGCAGCCTCTGGAGCTCAGATGGGGCCTGCCTCCTCCTGCAGGGACTCCTGGACCGGCTGTTCTTTCCTAGTCACAGAACCAGGGAATGCTTCGGGTTCCAAGGGGCCTTAGAGCTTGTCCAGTCCCATTCCTGCCGTGCAATCCATCTCACGTGGAATTTGTCATCCAAGCTTCTTTCACCTTGGCTTTTGGTGGGGAAAAAGTGTGTGGGAGCAATCGGGGATTTACACATCCCCTCTTGAATTCTTGGAGCTGTGTGGGGAAGCAATACCTGAGTCGAAGGGTGTTGCTTGGAAAGTGAAAAAAATACATCATTTTGGAGTATTAAACAGGAATATCTGGGCTCTTGGCATATGGATCAAAGCCTGCAGCCTCGGGAATGGGGTCTCTGCTCACAGGAATCACTGCAGTGGTTCCAGTAGAGCTACTGATGGGAGAACAGGCTCCAGAAGAGCCTCTGGACATAGGGATCTTCTGGGACAGGGAAGAGCCTTCAGCCCTGGTGGTGACAAACCCGTGGGGTGCTCTGGTAATGGAATATTTTAAGGGCAGATTTTGCAAATAACAGAGCAGGATGGTGTGGGCCTTGAGCTATTTTCTGTGAGGTTTCAGTGGAATTTGGGAGGATAAACATTAACTAGGCTGCCCTGCGAGCTGATGGCTGCATTTCCAGTGCCTTCTGTGAGCATGGGTTTGATGCCAGGCCAGTCACGGGGTGTGAGGAGTGCCCTGTGCAGGCACCAGGGTCCTGAGGGTGTCAGGCCTGCAGCCAGCCAGCTTTTGGGAGTGTGTGCTGTGCACCCCCAGCTCTGCAGCCCCACTGCAATGGCCTAGGAGCCCATTAGAGCCTGCAGGGGTTCACCCTGCCCCTGAGTGTTGCTGGAAGGGCTCCTGTCCCCAGTGAGGTGGCACCAGCTGGTGTCCCTGAGGAGAGAGCTCCCCGGTGATGGAGCCACGCTGGGCACGTTCCCCTGGCACAAACCCGCTCCCCTCTGTGGCTCCAGCCCACAGCTGGTTCCACACAGCCTCGTGGAGTTTCATGTTACAGCTTGGAAGCGCTCCCAAAGAAGGTTTGATGGATTTTTCCTGCATCTGGAAGGAGACAGGGATCCCTTCTCCGTGTCCATCCCTGCAGCAGCGCTGTCCAGGGCTGGGTGTCACCTCTGAGCTCCAAACTGGAATGAGCCTGTGAGGAACGACCTTGGGCCCTGCTGCTGAGGGCACAGCCACGTAAACAAGTGGATGGATGTTCCTGGGAAGTTCAACTAATGCTCTAAAGCCCCTCAGGAAGAAACACAAAACCTCTGGGACTCGGCACAGCCTTGAGCCAGAGCAGCTCAGCAGGGCCTGTCCTCCACAGAGGGCACTGAGCAGGAGATCAGGGGCTGGGAAGAGATCTGGGGGCTTGGGAGGCCTCCAGGGGAAATGTCCCTTCCCTTCCTCATTCCTGGGAGAAAATGAGGAGAGCTGAGGGCTTGGGAGGCCTCTTGAGGGGAAGTGTCCCTTCCCTTCCTCATCCTTGGGAGGAAAAGAGGTGAACTGGGGCCTTGGGAGGCCTCTAGAGGGAAATGTCCCTTCTCTTCCTCATCCTTGCCCAGAGGGGTCCAGCTGGGGTCTTCAGCTGCCCCAGGAGCAGTGAAAACTCCAGACAGCCCCAGTGCTCCAGGACTTGTGGAGCAGTTGTGCTGCAGTTCTGCTCAGAGACTTCACTTTCAGAGCTTGAAGGCCCTGCTGTGCTGGCTGGGTGAGGCTCGGTGCTGAGCAGCCCTCTGGAAGGCACGGGGTGCCCCTGCAGTGCCAGTGCTGCTGGAATGTGCTGAGCAGCTCAGACCTGCTCCTGAGGAGCTGGGAACGTTCCTACCAACCCCCAGCCTTTATTCATCTCCAGAGCACCCTGGAGAACACCCTGCAGCAGTGACACTTCCCAGGCCATTAAGTGACTCATCAACATCATCGAGCCTCGGCACATCCTACTGAAAGGAGTGGGCATGTCTGTTTTGGAGATGTGTGGATTGGACGGAAGCTCCTGGAATGTGAGCTCCCTGCTTGCCCAGAGCAGCTGGGGCTGCCCCTGCATCCCTGGCAGTGCCCAGGGCCAGGCTGGGCACTGAGGAGCAGCCTGGCACAGGGGGAGGTGTCCCTGCCGTGGCAGGGGTGGCCTCACTGCTGGTCCTGGTGCTGGGGCAGGTCTGTTCTGTTCCAGCCTGCAGGAGTGGGAGCCTCAGGCACCGCCCTGAGCCAGCTGCAGCAGCTGGGCCCTGGTGCCTGGGCATGGCCTGTCCTTGTGTGCTGCCTGCTCAGCTAAAAATGACCAAACCGACCCCTCAACTGTGCCCCCAGATCCCCATGGCCAGGCATGAGGGGGACACGTCACCAGTGTGTCACTTGTGTGAGTGGGCATTGGGTGTGGGGCATGGCAGGACCCAGGGATGTGCCAGCCGGGCGTGTGGGGTGTCCTGGTGACTGCAGGGCTGTGCCATCAAGGCATGTGGGGTGTCCTGGTGACTGCAGGGCTGTGCCAGCCTGTGCCAGCAGGGCCTGTCCCAGCTGGTGTCAGACATGTGTTCTCAGTTTGGCAGCAGCTCTTTGTCACTGTCATCTTCACTTTGGGACAGCTCCGTGTCTCTGTTCAATTCCCCTTGGTAATGGTCTTGGCCAATGGTGTCTGTCCCTTGGGGCTGCTCTTGGTGTCTGTTCAATCCCCGGGGACAGCCCCAGGTGGGTGCAGTCTCCCTGGGACAGCCCCAGGTGGGTGCAGTCTCCCCGGGGACAGCTCCAGGTGGGTGCAGTCTCCCCTGGGACAGCCCCAGGTGGGTGCAGTCTCCCCTGGGACAGCCCCAGGTGGGTGCAGTCTCCCCAGGAACAGCCCCAGGTGGGTGCAGTCTCCCCTGGGGACAGCTCCAGGTGGGTGCAGTCTCCCTGGGACAGCCCCAGGTGGGTGCAGTCTCCTGGGGACAGCCCCAGGTGGGTGCAGTCTCCCCTGGGGACAGCCCCAGGTGGGTGCAGTCTCCCTGGGACAGCTCCAGGTGGGTGCAGTCTCCTGGGGACAGCTCCAGGTGGGTGCAGTCTCCCTGGGACAGCCCCAGGTGGGTGCAGTCTCCCTGGGACAGCCCCAGGTGGGTGCAGTCTCCCCTGGGGACAGCTCCAGGTGGGTGCAGTCTCCCCTGGGGACAGCCCCAGGTGGGTGCAGTCTCCCTGGGACAGCTCCAGGTGGGTGCAGTCTCCCTGGGACAGCCCCAGGTGGGTGCAGTCTCCCCTGGGGACAGCTCCAGGTGGGTGCAGTCTCCCTGGGACAGCTCCAGGTGGGTGCAGTCTCCTGGGGACAGCCCCAGGTGGGTGCAGTCTCCCCTGGGGACAGCCCCAGGTGGGTGCAGTCTCCCTGGGACAGCCCCAGGTGGGTGCAGTCTCCCCTGGGGACAGCTCCAGGTGGGTGCAGTCTCCCCTGGGACAGCCCCAGGTGGGTGCAGTCTCCCTGGGACAGCTCCAGGTGGGTGCAGTCTCCCCAGGGACAGCTCCAGGTGGGTGCAGTCTCCCTGGGGACAGCCCCAGGTGGGTGCAGTCTCCCCTGGGGACAGCCCCAGGTGGGTGCAGTCTCCCCTGGGGACAGCTCCAGGTGGGTGCAGTCTCCCCGGGGACAGCCCCAGGTGGGTGCAGTCTCCCTGGGACAGCCCCAGGTGGGTGCAGTCTCCCCGGGGACAGCCCCAGGTGGGTGCAGTCTCCCTGGGACAGGTGACACTGGATCCTCTGTGAGGGTCGCTGGCCCAGCTGGTGCCCTGCCAGCCTCACAGCCCTGCAGGGAGCCCCAGCACAGGCCAGCTCCTCGGGGAAGATCCCACTGATCCATGGGGATCCAGGCTTTCATTGCTGCCATCTATTCCTGCTGATTCAGTCTGTCATGAGGAGGAAGAAGAATGTCCAGGCAGGATTAAGCCATGTCTGAATTTGCAGGATTTTGTGGGAGGAACATGGATCCATCCCATCTGGGGGGTCTGATGGGCTCTGGCAGATCTTCCCCTCTTTCCTTTATCAAAGTCTTCACTTGGGTGAAAATACCAAAACTTGAGCTTAATTTGAGACTCATTAGAGGAAATCTGGGTGTGCTGTGGGAAATGAAGAAAATGCATCCTGAGCATTTGATAAATGAATCAAACTGAGACCAAGCAGTTGACAATTTCCTTTCTTCCCAGCCACACTGAACTCTCCCTGCCATGCCTGTGGCCAGAGCAGGGCAGGGCTGGCTCTGGAGGGCAGAGCAGGGCACAGAGCTGGTTTTGGGGAGCAGAGCAGGGCACAGAGCTGGTTTTGGGGAGCAGAGCAGGGCTGGCTCTAGTGGACAGAGTAGAGCAGAGCTGGATCTGGTGGGCAGAGCAGAGGGCCGGCTCTGGAGAGCAGAACAGAGCGGGGCTGGTTTTGGTGGGCAGAGCACAGGACTGGTTCTGTGAGCAGGGCAGGGCTAGACCTGGAGGGCAGAGCAGAGCACAGAACTGGTTTTGGTGGGCAGAGCAGAGCAGGAATGACTCTGGTGGGCAGAGCAGAGCTGGCTTTGGAGGGCAGAGCAGAAATGTTTCTGTTTCTGGAGGGCAGCCCTGGTCCTGGCCCTGCAGGGCTCAGGGAGCTGTCCCAGCCCAGCCCTGTCCCTCTGTGTGTGCTGCAGGCTGCAGAAGGCGCAGGAGGAGCACCGTTCTGTGGAGGTGGAGAAGGTGCACCTGGAGAAGAAGCTGCAGGACGAGATCAGCATCGCCAAGCAGGAGGCGCACCGGCTGCGGGAGCTGCGCGAGGGCACCGAGAACGAGCTCAGCCGGCAGAAATACGCTGAGCAGGAGCTGGAGCAGGTGAGCCTCACCTGGGCAGGCACCTGCACACGCTTGCCACTGAGGGCAGTGCTGCTGCATCCCGTGAGGAGTCACAGAAACGCACAATGCTGCCTTGGGAGGGCTCTAAATCCCGTCCAGTGCCACCCCTGCCATGGCAGGGACACCTCCCACTGCCCCAGGCTGCTCCAGCCCCAGTGCCCAGCCTGCCCTGGGCACTGCCAGGGATGCAGGGCAGCCCCAGCTGCTCTGCTCTCACCTGAACAGGGCACAGGGATTTAATCCCAGTCCCTTTCCTGCTGCCCACCCTGTGGGATCAGCCCAGGGCACAGGGATTGCAGGTCCCAGTGCTCATGGCCAGGGCCTGTGCAGCTTCTCCCACCAATCCCCAGCTCCTTCTCCCAGGGCTGCTCCCAGCTCATTGTCCCCAGGCTGTGTTTGTGCTGGCATTGCCCCCAGCCAGCTGCAGGCCCTGCCCTTGGTCCTGCTGGGCTGCACGAGGCTGGCACGGTCCCAGCTCTCCAGGCTGCCCAGGTGCCTCTGGATGCCCCATCCCTTCCCTGCAGGGTGTGCCCACAGCACCAGCTCCGTGTCACTGCCAGGCTGGGGCTGCCCTGGATCCCAGTGTCCCTGCCCTGGATCCCTGTCCCTGTATCCCTGTCCCTGCCCAGGATCCCAGTGTCCCTGCCCTGTATCCCTGTCCCTGTAACCCTGTCCCTGCCCAGGATCCCAGTGTCCCTGCCCTGTATCCCTGTCCCTGTAACCCTGTCCTTGCCCTGGATCCCCCTGTCCCTGCCCAGGATCCCTGTTCCTGTCACCATCAAAGACATTTCCAGTGCCAGTCTTGGCTTCTGAGGGACTCCAGTCCTCACTGCTCTCCAACTCCCTGAATCCAGTGATGCTGCTGCTCTTCTGCCTTTGCTTTCCCACTCTCCTTTGTGGTGGGAAAGCTCCAAACCTCTTTTCCATGGTGTCCATTACTCATCCCAGTCACTGCTGTGGTGCTGGACAGGGCAGGTGCTGGCACCTTGTGACATCCCAGCAGGAGCAGAGGGGTTGGACGTGCCCTGGAGCTGCAGCCTCTGGCATTTCTGACTCCCTCCCCGGCCTGTGCAGTCTCTCTGTATCTCTGTTCATGGATTTAGGACAGATTTAGAATGAGTTCAGTTACTTTCCATGTTTTCTCGTGGATCAGAGGGTGTGCAAGAGTTGGAGCAGCCCTCTGGGACCATCCAGTCCAGCCCTTTCCCAGCACTGCCAAGGCCACCACTGACCATGTCCCCAGTTGGCACATCCTGTGAAATCCCTCCATGGATGTGACCCCAGCATGGCCCTGGGCAGCTGTGCCAGGCCTGGACAACCCTTTCCATGAGGAAATTTACCCAGTGTCCAACCTTAACCTCCCCAAACCTACAAGGAGCCCAAACACACAATCCCAGTAGCTGCTTCCTGTCTCACCTGAGGGACAGTTCTCACCTGGCTGCAAGTCACAGATCAGTTTAAACTGAGTCTGGAGCCAGACCTGCAGGAGCCAGGCAGGTTCCTTGGGTGTTCCAAGGCCGTGTGTGTGTGTGTGTGTGTGTGTGTGTGTGTGTATGTATCCTCCCAGCTGTGTCCAGGATTTTTTGCCACCATGGAGGGCAGGGAGGAAACCAAGGCAGGAATCCAGGGCTTCCCCTGGCAAGGCAGGACCAATTGTCCTGGGAGCCCTGTGGCAGTGCAGGGGGACAGGCAGCAAATTCCCTTCCTGCCTGGGGCTGCAGCAGCCCCGAGCCCCTCGGGAGTGCCCTTATCCATCCTCCTGGGTTCTGGGGTGTCCCTGCTGGCACAGACAGACCCTGGGCAGTGTGTTTGGGCACAGTGGGCTGGGTGCCCACTCTGGAGCAGCCCAGCTCTCACCCTGCCCTTGCCCTGCGTTGCCATCAAGGAGCCCAGGAGCTGATGTGAGCTGAGAGCTGCCAGGCCGGAGGCAGGTGAGTACTGCGGTGTCCCACAGCACTGTGTGACCGTAACCCCAGCACTGCCCCCCTGCCCAGGACACCTGTGACATTAACCTGTCACCCCCTGGCCCCCCAGCACAGCCCCTGCTCCAGGGAGAGGTGACACAGACCTGCTCTGCACCAGGGTTCTGAGCACCCAGGCCGCGCTGCAGGACTTGGGTGTATGGGATGGAAATGTCCTGTTCCCAGGATCTTCATCCATCCCTCCCTCCCTCCCTCCTCACTGGGGCACCCTCCACAGACCCCAGTGGGGCCACAGAGAGCACTGAGGGAATTGAGGAACAGGACCTCAGACTGGTTTGGGCTGGAGAGACCTTAAATCCCATCCCACCCCACCCCTGCCATGGCAGGGACGCCTCCCACTGTCCCCAGTGCCCAGCCTGGCCTCGGGCACTGCCAGGGATGCAGGGGCAGCCCCAGCTGCTCTGGGCACCCTGTGCCAGGGCCTGCCCACCCTGCCAGGGAACAATTCCTCACTGCCAAGATCCCACCCAGCCCTGCCCTCTGGCACTGGCAGCCATTCCCTGGGTGCTGTCCCTGCAGGCCTTGTCCCCAGTCCCTCTGCAGCTCTGCTGGAGCCCCTGCAGGCCCTGCCAGGGGCTCGGAGCTCTCCCTGCAGCTTCTCCTGTGCAGGTGAGCCCCCCCAGCTCTCCCAGCCTGGCTGCAGAGGGGCTCCAGCCCTGGAGCAGCTCCCTGGCTCCTCTGGGCTGGCTCCTGGAGCCCCACATCCTCCTGCACCCCAGGCTGCAGGCTCTGCAGGTGGGGTCTCATCAGGGCTCAGTATAACTTTCATATCAATTTCCCTATAAATTGTTGCTCTTAGTGATCCAAATGGGGTCTTAAAGGTCTTCCCAGGAGAATGGAGACACACACAAAATAACTCGTGTTTGCACAGATTCCCTGCAGAACCACAAGAGTTTGGGTTGTGGACACTCATTTTAGCCACTGGTCCTTGCCTGTTCCACAGCACTTCCCTTTCCCACCATTCCCTAAAAACCTCGTTCCTGTGAGTGTTATGAGCACTCCTCTACCCATAACAACCAGATTTCCTACCCGTGTTTCCTCTGTATTCCCAAATCCCAGATGCCTGTGGGTGATGGTCAGAGTCCTGCTGAGGTGGGAGCAGCACCTGGCTGGTGCCGCTGGTGCCCAATGGGAAAAGCCAGGGGCTGGGACTGAATTTGGGACTGATTTAGGCAGTTTTATACTGAACAGCCCTAAACCACACAGGTACAACTGGTATCACAAGTGGTACAAGTGTCTGACCTGTGGTGTGTGGTGCCTCTGGGCTGCTTCTGGATGGATGCTCCTTCTGGGTAAAATACACAATTTCAGAGATCTGCCTGGACCCCGGGGCTCTTGGCTCCCTAAACCCCCAGGCTGGGCTGGGTGGAACGTGCCTGAGTTAAGGAAGAGCACATCCAGGGAAAAGCTGCAGGGAAAAGCTCCAAGAGTGAGCAACGCTGCACAAAAACCCTGCTCTGCATCCGCCCACCGCCGCCAGGCACGGCCGTGCCCGTGGGCTGGCAGCTGCAGCGGCAGGGCAGTGTGGGGTGGCAGGAGCAGGTGAGGGCTGGGGTGGCAGGAGCAGGGCAGTGCTGGGGTGGCAGGAGCAGGGCAGTGTGGGGTGGCAGGAGCAGGAGCAGGGCAGTGCTGGGCTGGCAGGAGCAGCGGCAGGGCAGTGTGGGGTGGCAGGAGCAGGAGCAGGGCAGTGTGGGGTGGCAGGAGCAGCAGCAGGGCAGTGTGGGGTGGCAGGAGCAGGGCAGTGTGGGGTGGCAGGAGCAGGAGCAGGGCAGTGCTGGGGTGGCAGGAGCAGCAGCAGGGCAGGGCTGGGGTGGCAGGAGCAGCAGCAGGGCAGTGTGGGGTGGCAGGAGCAGGAGCAGGGCAGTGTGGGGTGGCAGCTGCAGCAGCAGGGCAGTGTGGGGTGGCAGGAGCAGCAGCAGGGCAGTGTGGGGTGGCAGCTGCAGCGGCAGGGCAGTGTGGGGTGGCAGGAGCAGCGGCAGGGCAGGGCTGGGGTGGCAGCTGCAGCGGCAGGGCAGTGTGGGGTGGCAGGAGCAGGGCAGGGCTGGGGTGGCAGGAGCAGCAGCAGGGCAGTGTGGGGTAGCAGGAGCAGCAGCAGGGCAGTGTGGGGTGGCAGCTGCAGCGGCAGGGCAGTGTGGGGTGGCAGGAGCAGCAGCAGGGCAGGGCTGGGGTGGCAGGAGCAGGGCAGTGTGGGGTGGCAGGAGCAGGGGCAGGGCAGTGCTGGGGTGGCAGGAGCAGGGGCAGGGCAGGGCTGGGGTGGCAGGAGCAGCAGCAGGGCAGTGTGGGGTGGCAGGAGCAGGGCAGTGTGGGGTGGCAGGAGCAGCAGCAGGGCAGGGCTGGGGTGGCAGGAGCAGGGCAGTGCTGGGGTGGCAGCAGAGCTGCTGTGCAGGGTGCACCCACAGAGCCCCCTGAGCCCCAGGGTGCTGTGGTGGCACAGTGCCCATCCCTGCAGTGTGCCCTGGGGTTGTGGTGCCATCCTGCTGCCGCTCCAGGCTGGCACACCTTCCCTTCCTGCAGGGCTGGCCAGGCTGTGAGAGCCTCTCCACAGGGTGGGCACTGCAGCACACCAGTTCATTCCTGGGGGTCTGCACCACTACAGCTTTTCTGTGAGGCTGCAGTGTGCTCAGCTGGCTTCCCAGCCAGGCCCTTCTAATCCTGTCTCTGTGGGTGTCAGGGTGTGCAGGAGCCTGGGCTGCGATGAGGGAGACGCCCCAGGAGTGGCTGATGCAGCCAGGCTGTTTCTTTTCCTGACCGGCAGCACATGTTTTGTGTCTAAATATTTTTCTCACTTTGTGCAGTGTGGAAGTCGTCTCCTGACGAGCTCCCTGGGCTTGTCTGGGAGCTGTGGTGAGACAGGGATTGCCTGTCAGGGGCTCTGCCTCCGCAGGGGGAGTTACAGACAGGCAGCAAGCTCTGCAGAGCTTCTAGAGGCTGCAGAAACCCCAGAGCATCCCCTCTGCGAGCTTCATTCCCTTTTAACCACCTCATGCGCTGTGCCATGGGCTCCAGAGGGGTTTCCTGTGGCTCCTGGTGATGAGGAGGGGTCGAGAGGGAGCTCAGCATGGTCCTGGCTGAGAACTTCTGGGGAAAGAACTCAGTTGTAGGGTGGCAGGAATGGTTCCTGGGCGGTTCTGGAGGTTCTGCTGCTTGGAGCACAGTGCTGGCTGGGAGTGTCTGGGGAAGGAGCTCAGCTCAGGGTGGCAGGAATGGTCTGTGGGAGGTTCTGGTGCTCGGAGCACGGTGCTGGCTGGCAGTTTCTGGGGAAGGAGCTCAGCTCAGGGTGGCAGGAATGGTCTGTGGGAGGTTCTGGTGCTCGCAGCAGCAGCCTGCCCTGTGGGGGGCTCCTCTCCTGCAGCCCCCAGGATGCCAGCACTCCTCCAGAGGGGTTTCCTGCTGCCAGGCCTGGTGCAGGTGCCTGGGCAGGGGGTGGCAGCAGAGGGGATGAGCTGTGGGATGACCACGTCCCCACAGCCGCTCCATGTGTCCCGGTGCCTCTCCCCAGGTGCGGATGGCGCTGAAGAACGCGGAGAAGGAGCTGGAGTCCCACTGCAGCTGGGCTGCCCCCGAGGCCCTGCAGAAGTGGCTGCAGCTGACCCACGAGGTGGAGGTGCAGTACTACAACATCAAGAAGCAGAACGCGGAGAAGCAGCTGCTGGTGGCCAAGGAAGGGGTGAGAGCTGGAGCAGCCTCATGCTGAGTCCTGGGGAGGTCTGGGGGCTGAACCTGCAGAGATGGATCTCCTCATCTTCTTGGCTTTGTGGCATCGTGGAGTCCCAGAGTGGCTTGGGTTAGGAAGGACCTCAAAGTTCATCTCATTCTGTGGGCAGGGACACCTTTGATTTTATCCCAGGCTGCTCCCAGCCCCGTGTCCAGCCTGGCCTTGGGCACTGCCAGGGATGCAGGGGCAGCCCCAGCTGCTCTGGGAGTTCTAGTCCAGGGCCTGCCCACCCTGCCAGGGAACAATTCCTCATTGCCGAGATCCCACCCAGCCCTGCCTTCCCTCAGCTCAAGGGCAGTTTCTCTCTTCATGCCTTAAATTTGCATCTTGTAGAAGTGCAGCACAAGAGAGGTGTGAGCAGGGGCCGAGCAGGATGAGGATGAGGATGGTGCTCCTGAGCCTTGGGCTCTCAGGGTGGGCAGGTCCCACCCTGGGCACTGCTGGAGCCTGGAGCCCTGGGAATCTGGGGCAGGGGTTGCTGGGGTGAGCAGGAGGCTTTGAGCACCGTCCCTGCTCAGGGTGATGAGCATGCACAGGCAGTGGAACCCCAGGTCCTGAATCATCGCTGCATTCCTGCTCTGGGATTTGTGTGCCAGCCCTGAGGGATGAGCCCAGGGAGCTGTTGTGACTCGTCCCCATGGCCATATGGAGCTGAGCTGGCAGCAGGGAAATCTGTCTGCCTTCATCTGCTTTGATTGGGAGCATTTTAACATTCCAACAGTTTTCCTTTGGCTGTGTCACTTCTTGCACCCGCATCCTTGGCTCTCCTAAGTGCCAGGTTCATGCACTGGAGCTGGGAGTGGAAGAGCTGTGGGAGGAGACTTTAATTTCTGATACAATGGCGCAAACTCAGCCTCAAACCAGAAATCCTCCTCGGCCCACGCCCTGGGTGTGTTTGGTGGTTATTCGGGGAGGGATGAGCCAGTGTGTGAGAGCCCTTCACTGGGTGAGGTACTGCCTCATGGAATCATGGAATGGCTTGGGTTGGAGAAACCCTGGGACACCTTCATGTCCACCTACTCCCTGAGCAGTGCCAAGGCCACCACTGCCCCATGTCCCCAGGTGCCACGTGCACAGGGCTGTGAAATCCCTCCAGGGATGGGGGCTCCAGCTCTGCTCTGACAGTTCAGCCTTTCAGTGCAGTTCCCTCTGATTTTTGGGAAGCTGGGAGAAGGGAGCATGAAATCCCCAACCTGCTACTTGCTGCTGGGGAATTCCTCATGCCAGTGCCAGGGAGAGCAGCATTCCTCAGTAACAGCACCATTCCCACCATTCCCACATGTGCAGGCAGCTGCAGGGGCTGTTCCTGTCCCAGCCCATCCAGGACGTCCATGGCCTGGAGGAAACTTCAGGTTCTCTTCTTCCTCTGACCTTTCTCTGTTGGTATTCCAGGCTGAAAAGATCAAAAAGAAGCGAAACACCCTTTTTGGGACGTTCCACGTCGCTCACAGTTCCTCTCTGGATGATGTGGATCATAAAATCCTAACTGCAAAGTGAGTGTCTGCTCAGCACCTCCCTCTTCACCCCTCCCCTGTCCCAGGCAGGAGTGACCTCACCTCTGCAGGGGCTCTGGGGCTCATTTTCTGTTGTCCTCAGTGACCTGGGGTTGGACTTGCTCTTCTTCATCAATAACCTGATTTTACCTGTGAGAAACGGGACCACAGTGACATGGAGCAATTAAAAGTCCTGCCCAAACGAGGTTCCAGGAGGCTGCAGGACGCTTAAGGGATTGTCATGGAATGACTTGAGCTGGGAGGGACCCCAAATCCCACCCAGTGCCACCCCTGCCATGGCAGGGACACCTCCCACTGTCCCCAGTGTCCAGCCTGGCCTTGGGCACTGCCAGGGATGCAGGGGCAGCCCCAGCTGCTCTGGGCACCCTGTGCCAGGGCCTGCCCACCCTGCCAGGGAACAATTCCTCATTGCCAAGATCCCACCCAGCCCTGCCCTCTGGCACTGGCAGCCATTCCCCCTTGTTGTTGTCCCTGGGTGCTTCAGCTGCTGCTGCATTTTTTAATTGCTGTATTCCTGGAGATGGCATGAAAAGTGTCTCACATGTCAGGATGCCCAGCTGACCCCGATATCTCCCCTTCCTCTTTAAACTATGAAGACTTTTTTAATAGTTCTCTTAATTATTTGTTGAATGTATTGGAGTAAATAAGGTACTATGATTAGTAGTACGACTATAGTACAACTAGTAGTACAACTGTAATAGTTTTACAATGGTACAGCTATTATAGTTGTACTACTAGTTGTATAATAGTACAACTATTATGATGACTAAAATCTATAAATTCATTTAAGTGTTTTTTATTTACGATGTTAGATTTTATTTATTAAATCAGCTATTTAACTAAGTTTTATTATCAACTTTAATTTTTGATACATTTTTGTTGGGATGTTTTTGTAAATAGATACTGAGTGATTAGATAAAATTTTAATATATATTTCTATATACATTATATATAAATTATATATATATATATATATCTATTATATTATATTGCATTACATTATAGGTTGGACTTGATGATTTTAGAGGTCTCTTCCAACCTAATTATTCTTACATTATTTTATATATATCTATATATATAATATAAATATATATTTATACAATTATAAATAATTTTATTTATAAATTTTAAAAACTAAAAATACTTTTTTTTAGATTTTTTTTTTTTAATCTTCACATCTGTGTGTTAACAAAAGAAAATTCAGTTGTGGCCTTGTTTTGTACAAAATCCAAGTGCACCCCGGGCAGTGCAGGGTCAGTGCCCCCATGCCCACCTGCATTGTCCCCGTGTCCCTGTCCCCAGGCAGTGCAGGGCTGTGTCCCCAGTGCCCACCTGCATTGTCCCCATGTCCCTGTCCCCACAGACAATGCAGGGTCAGTGTCCCCGTCCCTCCCTGCATTGTCCCCTGTCCCTGTCCCCACAGACAGTGCAGGGTCAGTGTCCCCGTCCCTCCCTGCATTGTCCCCTGTCCCTGTCCCCACAGACAGTGCAGGGTCAGTGTCCCCGTCCCTCCCTGCATTGTCCCCTGTCCCTGTCCCCACAGACAGGCGCTGAGCGAGGTGACGGCGGCGCTGCGGGAGCGGCTGCACCGCTGGCAGCAGATCGAGCTGCTCTGCGGCTTCCAGATCGTCAACAACCCCGGCATCCCCTCGCTGGCCTCGGCCCTCAACATCGACCCGGGCTGGATGGGCACGCCCCGGCCCAACCCCTCGCACTTCATCATCACCGACGACGTGGATGACCTGGACGAGGAGCTGGTGTCACCCATGTCCATGCAATGTAGGCAGCCGTGGGAACGGATGGGGGGCCTGGGAATGGGGCAATGGGGGCTCCCTGGGAGTGGGGCTCTGGGGGCTCCCTGGGAATGGGGGGCCCCCTGGGAATGGGGGAGCTCCCTGGGAATGGGGCAATGGGGGCTCCCTGGGAGCAGGGGCTGTGTGTGCAGGGGTTGGGGCTGTGGCACAGAGCAGACCTGGATCTGTAGTTCACCTGTATCAGGAGGGGTTAATTGATCCAAGCTGGGGTTTCCATGCCCAAAGGCCACAGTTAGTCCATCAGGGTCAGAACATCCCTAACAGGCCAGGCCCCACTGCTGGGGTGGTTTGGAGCCTGATGATTTCAGCATGACTGGTAATTTAGAAATTGTTGATCATCATTTCCCTCTATTTGTGCTTTTCTGGTCAGCTCAGTGATTTAAGCATTTACCAAAAACCCCAACCAAAGGCATGGGTAGACATGGCAGTGGGACAGGAAAGGGGATTATCCCCGTGTCCCCTTGGCCTGAGCACGTGTTTGGGATTGAAAGGACTCAAAGGTGCCCCTCCTGGGGCCCAGCTGGACCTGCAGCATTCCAGGTGGGAGCAGCCCTCCTCCAGCCTCAGGGAGCTGTTGAACACTCCCTGGAGCCCAGGCTGCCCCAGATCCCAGCTCTGTGCAGGCCTGGGCTCAGCCAGGGACACCTCCTGGCCCTCTGGGTTGGTGACAGAGAGCAGCACTCCCAGGGTGGCTCTCCCTGCTCTGCCAAGCCCAGACCCCACAGAGAGAGGGAGAGCATGGATCACCCTGTGCCTGTGAGCCCCCAGCTGCTGGAATTAGTGTCACAGGGCTGGGTGGCACTGTCACCTTCTCTGCAGCAGCTGGGAGCCAGCCCTGGCTGCTGTTCCTGCCTGCAGCTGGCTCAGGTCCTGCCTCCTTCTCCCAAAAGGCATTTTCCAAATAGTTTCACTTTGGGTAGAGCAGGGACAGGGCCTGGGGGCACAGGAGCAGCACCTGGCAGGGCACAACTCCCTGATCCAGGCACTGTCATGGGATCATGGAATCACAGAGTGGATTGGCTTGGAAGGACCTTAAAGCCCACCCAGTGCCACCCCTGCCATGGCAGGGACACCTCCCACTGTCCCCAGTGCCCAGCCTGGCCCTGGGCACTGCCAGGGATGCAGGGGCAGCCCCAGCTGCTCTGGGCCACTCTGGACAATTTAATCCAAGCCGGGCTGCTTGGAGCAGCAGGAGGGTGTCAGGGCTGGCACTGTGTGCTGCAGGGGTGCCCTCTATGCCAGGCCCACGTCCCCTCAGCCTGGGGGAGCTCAGGGCAGGGCCCAGGGGAGGCAGAGCTTGGAGGCTTTGGGTAGGGCAGGAGGAAGGGGGGTACCTGTGTGTTCCCAGGGCTCTGCAGACATGGGGGTACCTGTGTGTTCCCAGGAAGGGGGCAGGAATGGGGGTACCTGTGTGTTCCCAGGAATGGGGGTACCTGTGTGTTCCCAGGAGTTGGGGCAGGAATGGGGGTACCTGTGTGTTCCCAGGAATGGGGGTACCTGTGTGTTCCCAGGGCTCTGCAGGAATGGGGGTACCTGTGTGTTCCCAGGAAGGGGGCAGGAATGGGGGTACCTGTGTGTTCCCAGGAATGGGGGTACCTGTGTGTTCCCAGGAATGGGGGCAGGAATGGGGGTACCTGTGTGTTCCCAGGAATGGGGGTACCTGTGTGTTCCCAGGAGTTGGGGCAGGAATGGGGGTACCTGTGTGTTCCCAGGAATGGGGGTACCTGTGTGTTCCCAGGAGTTGGGGCAGGAATGGGGGTACCTGTGTGTTCCCAGGAATGGGGGTACCTGTGTGTTCCCAGGAGTTGGGGCAGGAATGGGGGTACCTGTGTGTTCCCAGGAATGGGGGTACCTGTGTGTTCCCAGGAAGGGGGCAGGAATGGGGGTACCTGTGTGTTCCCAGGAATGGGGGTACCTGTGTGTTCCCAGGAGTTGGGGCAGGAATGGGGGTACCTGTGTGTTCCCAGGAATGGGGGTACCTGTGTGTTCCCAGGGCTCTGCAGGAATGGGGGTACCTGTGTGTTCCCAGGAGTTGGGGCAGGAATGGGGGTACCTGTGTGTTCCCAGGAATGGGGGTACCTGTGTGTTCCCAGGAATGGGGGTACCTGTGTGTTCCCAGGGCTCTGCAGGAATGGGGGTACCTGTGTGTTCCCAGGAGTTGGGGCAGGAATGGGGGTACCTGTGTGTTCCCAGGAATGGGGGTACCTGTGTGTTCCCAGGAATGGGGGTACCTGTGTGTTCCCAGGGCTCTGCAGGAATGGGGGTACCTGTGTGTTCCCAGGAGTTGGGGCAGGAATGGGGGTACCTGTGTGTTCCCAGGAATGGGGGTACCTGTGTGTTCCCAGGAATGGGGGTACCTGTGTGTTCCCAGGGCTCTGCAGGAATGGGGGTACCTGTGTGTTCCCAGGAGTTGGGGCAGGAATGGGGGTACCTGTGTGTTCCCAGGGCTCTGCAGACATGGGGGTACCTGTGTGTTCCCAGGGCTCTGCAGACACGGGGGCTGCAGCCGCAGTTTGTGGGGTCAGCTGTGCTTGGGGCCATTAAAGCTGCAGGGAATGGAGACATCCTGCTCCTGTTCATTACCGGTCACCCTCAGAATCAGGACATCTCTGCTAAAGCCCTGGCCCAGCCCCAGCTGGGCACTGGTGGCAGGGATGCTGGGGCAGTCCCAGGTGACACCTGAGGCCCTGAGCTGGCCCAGCTGTGAGCCTCCAGCCCCAATTTCAGCTTCTTGGCACTCGAGACACCTCGAGTGAGACATTTCCAGGGAGCACTTCAGTTCCATCATGCCAGAGGTGGGCAGAGAGCCTGCCCAGCCTCGTGCCCACCTGTGTGCCCAGCTGCTGACCTGCAGGTGACACACCTGTGGCAAGCACTGGGCACTCCAGTTCCCAAAGCAAGGCAGCCTTTCCCTGTAGGATTTCCTTGCTTTGTGTGCAATCCCTGCCTCGGCAGAGCAGCGTTTCTGCTGCCCAGGTGTGGTGTGAGGGCTGTGGTGCTGCTCCCAGTAAATGCCATCTCTCTCTCTCCTGTTCCCCCCGGCTGCCCCCCAGATGCAGCCTGGCTTTTCGGGCGCAGGTTCAGCGACCGCTCCTCGCTGTCCTCGGAGGATCAGTCCCTCTGGAAATACCCTGGTTTGGTTCTCTTCAGTTTTATTCTCCTTTTTTTATTCTGCCTTCTGGCCTTTTTCTGGACTAAAATACATCCACCAATTTTCCATCTTTCTGGCACGGGAACTAATGAATGTATCTGTCCTCACTGAGCCACCTGCACTAACCCCGGGAAGAGTCTGGTGGGATGAAGAAGAATCTCAGCTGCAGCTCCCACGTGCTGCCGGGAGCAGTTGGGGAATCTGGGGGTTGGACTCGCTCCATTTTACCCCTGAGGAGGAGATGAAGGAGCCAGTGAGGCCAGGAGGCGGTGACAGCATTCCCTGCCCCATCCCTGCCCGCAGGTGCTGCTGGTGCCCTGTTCCCTCAGGATCCCTAAATAAACTGAGCAGGGACACTCTTAGGGAATCCTGAACCTGGGGATGGCACACAGCCTCCAGGCCTTGGCTTCCTTTGGAAACCTCCCCTTCAGAGGGAGACAGAGCAGGTGGATGTGCCAGCCTCGAGCAGGGAGGGCTTTTCCTTGGGATGCTGGGCAGGGAATTTGGGGAATGTTGGTAAAACGGGTGTCTGGAGGGAAGTGGTGGGTCTGGGAAGTGAGGTCCCAGCCCCTGCTCCAGAGCTCATTGCAGGGTAAGTCTTGGAGAGCATGAAGATGGGAAGATTGCATTCCTCATTGGGAAATGAGGGGTGGAACACCAGGAAAAAATGGGGAATCCTTAAGGAAAAAAGCTTGGCCCAAGGGAAGAAAAAGTGTAGCAGAAACCCATCACCCCAGCGAGCTACTCTGCAGTCAGATCCTTGTGAACCCTCCACGATGAGATTCCCAAATTGGAATTGCAGCTCTGGAGCTGAAAAAAAATCTTGCAATAGAATAGATGGTGTAAAATTCCAAGTTCATGGATGGGCACTGTAGGGAGCAAGGAGCAGTGGGGATGACTGGGATTCACCTTGGGGCTCTGGAGACAGCCAAGTTGCCAGAATTATTCCTTCTTATTCTTCCTTCCACTGGAAATATGTCCCTGTGGATCTTTTCAGTCCTGCCAGAGGAGCCCTGCGTGCTCAGCTGGGATTTTCCAGAGCAGGGATTGCTGGTTCTTCCACTCCCAAAGGAGCTCTCCTCCTCCTCCCTTTCTGAGCTTTCCTGTCTCTGCATCTTTTAACCCATTTGTACATTAATTTCTCATGCACATAAGAAATCCTGAGCAATCCTGAACACCTTATCTCCTGCCAGAGGAGATCATCTTGTGTGGGATGGGGATGGAATAAAGCCAGCTGGGGATGGGGTGCAGCCCTCCATGGTGGAGGGGAGCATTGCCCAGGCTCCAGGCAGGTGAAGGGGCCTCCCCTGGCTCTGGGGGTGGCCCTGGGGCAGGTGTGGGGCACAGGCAGCTGCTCAGGGGGTGCTGGGCTGGAGAGAGCCCAGGGAGCTCTGCAGGCAGTTCAGGGACTGGTGCTGGAGCTCCAAAGGACATTCCCGTGTGGTTCCCCAAACCCAGGGGAATTGGCAACCACAGGAGAATATTTCTCAGGTTGAGGGGGTTTCTGATCAGTCACAGTGGTCGTGGAACAGGCTGGGAGCTCTGGGGCCAGAGTCATCAGTTCAGGCACAGGGGAATCAGGCATGAATCCCAGAAAGTTTGGGTTGGGAGTGACCCTAAATCCACCCAGTGCCACCCCTGCCATGGCAGGGACACCTCCCACTGTCCCCAGTGCCCAGCCTGGCCTTGGGCACTGCCAGGGATGCAGGGGCAGCCCCAGCTGCTCTGGGCACCCTGTGCCAGGGAACAATTCCTCATTGCCAATATCCTCAACCCCAATATTTTCAACCAACCAGGGAACTGCCCCTGCATCCCTGGCAGTGCCCAAGGGCAGGCTGGACACTGGGACAGTGGGACGTGTCCCTGCCATGGCAAGGCTGGGAAGAGGTGATCTTTAAGGTTCCTCCCAGCCCAATCCCTGAATGATTCCATGCTGCCAGGGCTCTGCTCCTGGTGCTGCCCCTGCACAGTGAACTGAGCAGAAGTGAGCTCTGTGAGTGGAGCTTCAGGTGCCAACACTGACCTGCTCACCTGGGGCTCCTGCTTTGGGCTGTGCGGTCCCAGCCAGGAGCAGGACTGGAGCCATGAGGGCTGTGAGGGTGAGTGGCCCTGGGAGTGCCCCGTTCCTGGCTCTCCAGGAGCCGGCTGGTGGCTCTAGGTGGGATGGATCACACAGAGCCGCTCTCTGCGTCAGGCAAGATGCTCAGATAAGGTGTTCAGAGGCACCTACATCAGCAATGCTGGAGTTCTCCGTGGGCTGGGCATTAATCCAGCATGTTCAGCACCAGCTTAAAGCTGCTTCTGCATTAAACAGGCCTTAACTGCTGGCACGAGGTGCGACAGTGCTGGTGGCACGGGGATGGTGCTGCTGGGATGGTGTCGGTGGGACTGGGATGGTGGGATGGTGTCAGTGGGGTGGTGCTGCTGTGGTTGGTGCCAGTGGGATGGGGATGGTGCCAGTGGGGTGGTGCTAATGGGGTGGTGCTGCTCTCATGGTGCCAGCGGGCCAGTGCCAGACCTGGTGGAGCTCCACAGGCTGGGCTGGGCTGTGCCCTCGCTCAGTCCTGGTGGAGCTCCACAGACTGGGATGTGCCCTCACTCTCTGCTGGCAGAGCTCCACAGGCCGGGCCGTGCCCTCGCCCTCTCCTGTGGAGCTCCGCAGGCCGTGCCCTCGCCCTCTCCTGTGGAGCTCCGCGGGCCGTGCCCTCCCCTCACCGTCCCCCCGTGTCGTTGCAGCTCCGGCCTTGCCCAGCACAGTCCGGCAGCGCCTGGTGGAGCCGCAGCACGGCCACGGATCGCAGAGGTTGGTAGAGAGTCTCGTGCCGGGGCAGCCCGAGGCGGGCCCCGTGGCCCCGCTGCGCGCGGGCCGAGCGTCCCTGCGCCGAATGCACAGCCTCACCTCCGGACAGTCCTTCGGCTCCGACCCGCCCGGCTCCGGCCCATCGCCTGCCTCCACCTCCTCCACCTCCTGCTCCTCATCCGCCACCACCGCGCCTGCTCCTGCTTGCCATGTCCACCCTATCTATTACCATCACACCACCTCTTATTTCCTCCAGATGGATTCCATCCCCGACCTGCCCCCTCCTGATGTCACCTCTGGAGTTCGCTGTCGCGCTGGGAGCTTTGGGTATATTGCTGTTTCTTTTCTAGCTGCCTCCTGCCTGCCGTGCCTCGGAGCCGATGCTTGCTGGGGTGCTCTTTCTCTCGCCTTCCTCCTGCCCTTTTCTTTTGGGCCTTTGTTCCGTGATTCATCCGCTCTCGTTCCTCCCGCTGCTCTCCCGAGCCGCTGGAGCCTCTCAGGAGGATTCCGTGGGCCATCCCCACGCCCAGGAGCTCAGAGGGGGCGTTCCCGAGGTGCTCTGCTGCTGTTTTACTGCAGCTGAGCAAGTGAGGATTCCCAGGTGCTCAGTGTTCCCCGAACAAGGGCATGTGAGGAGGTAACAGAGCTCATCACCAAACCTGACCTGATCTGAAGCCTGGACCTCCCTGGGGTCCTCACAAGTGAATTGCAAAGGGAACCTGGTGGGTGGGGACCACCAGGTAGCAGCTGGAGAAGTCTAGGATGTTTTCAGAGGTGCTAGAGTGGCGGTTCAGGAATGTGTTCTGGAGTGACTCCTCCTCTGGTCTGTAGGGATGAGGATGGGGTGTTTTGGCCAGGGAATGTCTGAGGAGGGAGCTGGAGCTGCTCCTGTTGGCTTTAGCTTGGTCCCTTTCAGTTGGCTCTTTGGTCCATCCTAGGGACTGGTTATCCTGCATCCCTCAATGCCAGAGCTGTCCCAGTTCATGGTGCTGGTGACAGGGAGCCGCAGGAATCCTGCCTGGTGCTCCAAGGGGGCCCTGACAGCCTGGCAGGAATGCTGTGTGTCCCAAGCACAGGGTCAGGCCCTGGGGTGGCTTTCACCCCAGTGAGACCCCACACGTCCTGGTCCCACAGGGTTGGGTGCAGCCAGTCCCGAGGCGTTGTGTCCCTGTGGGATCCCCCTGGGGCACTGGGGTGTGTGCCCGTGGCCTCAGCTGTGCCAGGCACTCGATGCAGGCAGTGGGGAGGCTGTGATGGGCCAGGGAATCCTGTCCCTGCCAGGTCATTCCATCTCCGTTCCATGCTTTCTCCATGGCAAAGTTAAAACCAGTCTGCTGACCCTCAGTACTGGGAGCCGGCTGCTGGGAGAAGGCTGCAAGTCCCTGGGTGAGGCAGGGGAGAGGGGAAATGTCCTTCCACCATCATTTCTCCAGGCAGGCAAACATTCCCAGTCACCACATCTTCACCCATCCCAGCACAATGTCCCATTGTCCCCTCACCTGTGGGTCCCCGGCCCTCAGGTGCTGGATCTCTCCTGGCCTTGTTCACAGTCTCTGGTTTGGATGTTCCACCCCCTCCCTGTCCCTGTGTCTCCAGGCTGAGCAGCCCCAGGCACATCCTGGAGTCTGGAATACCGAGGGGGAAATTGCTGCACCTGCTCCACAATGGAGAATTAAAGAGCAGCATCTCAGTTAATTCAGTAATGGTTGGTTGGGGATGATGAGAAGCAGTGTAATTAATTAACTCCTACCAGTGGGAGCTCAATTGCAGCTGTCCCAGTTGGACTGGTGAGAGCTGGGAAGGCTGCTGGTCCCTGCTTCCATTGCCTCCCTGACTTGCAGGAGGGAGGGCTCATCCTGCCAGCCTGGGGCTCATGTCCCGTGTCCACAACAGCTGTTTAAATGTGATTTATTTCCACCGAGGCCCCTGGCACGTGGAATTCCTGCCCAGGACACAGCCTGAGTCCCTGCAGACCCCCTGAGAGTGGCAGAGGGAAACAGGATCCAGTGTGGGGACCCCAGGAAGGGAAGGGCACAGTGCCAGAGGAGGGAATAAGTGGGGCCTGCCCTGGTCAGAGCCCAGCTGGTCACCGCTGGGTGCCAGCAGATCTGTCCTGTCCCTGCTCCATGGCAAAGCCAGCCGGTGATACAGGAGAGGGGATGGAGTCAGAACCTCCCAGCTGGGACTCGCTCCAGCTGCGCCTCAGCAGGCAGCTCCCCCACCTCACCATCCCTGCTCAGGCCGGCAGCAGGCATGAGGAGCTGGGTGCCCCGGGATGTGGGTTTGTGGTGTGCTGATAACTGTTTAATGCAGCTGCATCACTAGCAGAGCCTGCTTTGATGCACCCCTAAAGCGCCGCTGCCAGGCCGATGGATTGCTGCCCCTCCCTGACACCCCCGCTCCTGGAGGCCTTTCCTTACATCCCTCAGCCTCCTGGGGAGCTCGGAAAGGCCTTCAGGGAGCCGCTGCAAGGAGCAGAGCCCCAGAGTCCCGGCTCCCTTGGTAGGAGGAAGGTGCCACCCTGGGGCTGCCGGAGCTCTTTAGCCCCTGCACGCCCAGCAGAGCCCGGGCTGGGCAGAGCTCGCAGGAGAGTCCTCCCCGAGGAGCGAGGCTGGGGATCGCTGTCTCCGGAGTCCTGCTGGGGCTGTCCTGGCAGGGAGCCTCTCCCTCACCTCCTCACTCTCTGCTTCTCTTTTGCAATTGGCTGCAGAGGATCCGGCGCCAATAAGGTCAGAGCGGTTCCGGGCCCGAGCGGCTGCGGGGTCCCCGGGGGGAGAGGGGCTGGGGGGGCTGCGTGTGCGCAGGGGTTTCTGCTGCCAGGGCCTGCCTCAGTGCACGGAACCCACGGAGATGGGAGCGTGGCACCAAATGCCCAGGCCCTCCTCCAACCAGGAAGGGAGGCGGCAGCCAAAGCTCAGGGAAGGGAGAGATCAGGAACCCAGGGAAATGAGTAATTCACAGCTCAAGCAGGGGGGAACGGAGGAAGCTGCTCTTGGGTGTGCGTTGAGGCTGTGCCAAGCTCAGCCCCACAGCAAATTTGGGACTTTGCCTTAAGAAAAGCCTTGGTCCCTGGTGCCACACACAGAGCCCAGCAGCCGAGGGTGCTCTCAGAGCCAGACACAGGGGGATGGGGCAGCCAGGGCAGCTCCCGGGCCATGCTGGGCTACACCCCAGGGGGAACACCCAGAGAAATCCCTCGTGGGCTGCAGAGCTGGGGAAAGATAGGTGTTTGTTCTCCATCCTCCTGCTGCTCCTCCCCTGCTCCTCCTCCCCTCCCAGGCTTCCTGTACTCCAGGCTTTCCTTTTCCATGCTTTGCTCTCTGCTTCTTTTGTCCACCATCCCCATCTCCTCACCCTCCCTCCCTCCCGGCTCGGGTGGATCCTGGTGGGGTGGGAGGAAGCCAGGAGGAAGCAGGTCCGTCCTGCCTCAGGCAGGGTCACTCTGGAGGTGCTGGGGTGCCTGGATCCATGGAAAAGAGCAGGGAGCACTGCTGGCATGGAGGAGAGCTCGGGATCCCAGGTAATTCCCTGTCCAGTTGCTGCTCTCTGGTTTCCAGGAGGGATGAGCTGTCAGGGGCTCCTGCTGCTCCACAAAAACACCTCCTCTGATCCCTGCCTGGGATCCCATTAAGGCCAGCCTGTCCTGGGATAGCTTTTCCTCTTGAAAGTGTGCTGGAACATTTCAGGAGCATAATCCTCATGGAAATCAGTGGGATATAGCCCAGGCCTTGCTGAGCCTCATCGGGGATGATGGCAGTATCCTGGGAATGCTCTTTCCTCCTTGTTGTCCTGGCATGGACTGAGGAGTGTCCACTCCTCTTGCTGTGAGTGTGATCGCAGGAGTCCTGTCCCTGCTGTTGTGCACTTCCTTGTGGGAACCACCAGGAAAAGGCTCATTTGAGGCTGAAGAAAATCCCAGAAATTCCTGGCCATTGGTGTTCAGCTCCCAAAATCAGCCCGTGGGTGCTCCAGTAGGAATGCAGGAGGTCCCTGTGCCTGTGCCAGGTGTCCCTTGGATTGTCCCTGCTGTGGTGGCTGTGTCCTGTGTGCCAGGATGTCCCCAGAGCCTGGCACAGCAGGGTGGGCACTGCAGCTGCTCTGGTGGGTGCTGCAGTCACCAGCTCCTCCCTGTGTCCTTCAGGAATATTGTCCTGACTTAGAGCTGGAGGGATTGTGTAGAGCAGAGCAGGAATATTTGGGAATTGTGTTCCCTTGGGCATCAGCCCCCTGGATGAGCCCAGAGGGCTGAGCTGGGGCTCGCAGGAGGTGGAACCCATTGGTGCACCCGCTCCAGGGTGAGGATCCCAGAGAACAGCCAGCCCCGGAGGGGGGACACGGAGCCTGTGCTGCAGCCAGAGCGGCCCAGGAGGGGACACGGTGGCCCTGCTGGCACCAAGGCCCTGCCCACTCCTGCAGTGTGGGAGCAGCTGTCCTGGGATCAGGTTCCCACTCTGCTCTCCAGACAGAAGAGCCTCGTGGAGCAGAGCATGGCTCCCATCTGCTGTTGTCCTTTGCTGCGCCCGCTGCCAGCGCTGCTTTGGTCCCTGCTGCACTGAAACCTGCAGGAGAGGGAGCAGCTCCACGGAGCCCCGCAGGGAGCACTCGCCCTCCCCACACAGCCTTGGAGTCTCCTCGGTCTGAAGGAAATCCATTTTCTCCTGTATTTGCTGCCCTCTTGCTGTTAGCAAGGATTTCTGTCACAGACCCTGACCCGGATCTCTCTCTCCCTGTGGGACTGTGGCAGCCAGAAGGGACGGGCTGCATTTCTGGATTTCCTGGTGGAGCTGGGGCACTGCCTGCGAAGGGAGCGGGTGTTGCTGTGCCCCCATCCCCAGCCAGGGCACGCAGGGCCCCTCAGGGCTCTCCCACTCCCTCCGTGGGTCCAGAGTGGGCCCTGCATTCCTGCCAGGATCCCATCCTGCCTGGCCCTGACCCTGCCTCTGCCCAGCACCGTTCCTGTGCCCAGCTTCTGCCCACAGCCTGGCTCCTTCTCCAGCCCTGCTGGGACCCAGCCCCGGCCACTCCCGGCCTTGGGCTGGTGCCAGCCCCTGCAGCCAAGGGCTGCCTTGTTCTCCTGGAAAGGGGCACCTTCCAGGGATTTGTGGAGCTCACAAACCCCTGGAACTGGGTGTTCTCAGCAAGGGCTCAGCGTGTGCAGGTGAGGGCTTCTGCCACCTTCCCTGGGAGAGTAGTGTCCAGGCAGGAGTTCCAGCAGGAATTCCCCTTTGCAGGTGTGGTAAGCCACGAGTAGAAACATCTGGGAAGGGCAGGAGATTCCCGAATTCCCTGAAGGGGCTGGAGGCTGCCATGGCAGTGACAGCCTGTCTGCAGGCACTGGCAGCATCCCCAGGTGTCCCAGCCCAGGCCTGTGCGTGTGTCCCCGTTTTGGGGGTCAGCTCCAACACCCCGAGTTCAGCCCCACTGTGTTCTGTGGCTGCTGCTGCTCCCCAGTGATCCCAGTTACCCCAGTTACCCCAGTTGTCCCAGTTACTGCAGTTCCCCCAGTGACAGCTGTGGGCCATCGGCTGGGACAGTGGCCTCCTGACAGTGACCATCCCCTGGTGGCCCTGGGAGCTGGGTGGCCCCACGCATGTGATGGTGGCACTCGTGTCCCTCGGAGGGCTGCAGCTGCCCACTCAGAACCGCTGGGATCCCACACCACCGGACTGTTCCCTTCTCCCAGCAGCTCACCCGGGATGTGGCTCGGACACGGCCAGGCTGGGCTCCAGCAAGGACAAGGACAATGCCAGCCGTGCCCAGGGCTCTTTGCTGCTGGGCAGGAGGAGAGCTGAGGTGTCTGCACAGCTGTGCTCCCCCAGCAGATCCAGGGCTGAGTGCCAGCCACGCACAGGATCCCCTTTTCCTCTCCGTGTTCCCCGGAGCTGCTGAAGGAGGGCCCGGCTGTATTCCATGGGCTCTGTTAAAGGAATGCTCTGTTCCAGCACGAGGAGAAGGTTCTGGGCCTGTCCCGGCACCAGCAGGACTCCAGCATGGGCCAGCACTTGGTGGAGAGCATGAGGAGGCCAGGACTGGAGCCAGTGCGGGGAAACGTCATCAGGGACAGGGATCCAGGGGCAGGGACACTGGGATCCTGGGCAGGGACAGGGATCCTGGGCAGGGACAGGGATCCAGGGACAGGGACAGGGATACAGGGACAGGGATCCAGGGCAGGGACACTGGGATCCAGGGCAGCCCCAGCCTGGCAGTGACACAGAGCTGGTGCTGTGGGCACACCCTGCAGGGAAGGGATGGGGCATCCAGAGGCACCTGGGCAGCCTGGAGAGCTGGGACCGTGCCAGCCTCGTGCAGCCCAGCAGGACCAAGGGCAGGGCCTGTAGCTGGCTGGGGGCAATGCCAGCACAAACACAGCCTGGGGACAATGGGCTGGGAGCAGCCCTGGGAGAAGGAGCTGGGGATTGGTGGGAGAAGCTGCACAGGCCCTGGCCATGAGCACTGGGACCTGAAATCCCTGTGCCCTGGGCTGATCCCACAGCGTGGGCAGCAGGAAAGGCATTGGGATTGTGTCCCTGTGTCCAGGTGATTTCCCACCTGCAGAGCTGCCCCAGCCCAGGAGGAGCTGGAGCTGCTGCAGAGAGCCCAGAGGAGGCTCCAGGATGGGCAGAGGGATGGAGCAGCTCTGCTGGCAGGAAAGGCTGGCACAGCTGGCATTGCTCACCTGCACAGGAGAAGCTTTGGGCTGAGCTCAGGGTGGCCTTGCAGGGCCTGGAGGAGCCCCAGGAAAGCTGGAGAGAGACAATGGCCAGGGGATGCAGGGACAGCACCCAGGGAATGGCTGCCAGTGCCAGAGGGCAGGGCTGGGTGGGATCTTGGCCATGAGGAATTGTTCCCTGGCAGGGTGGGCAGGGCCTGGCACAGGGTGCCCAGAGCAGCTGGGGCTGCCCCTGCATCCCTGGCAGTGCCCAAGGCCAGGCTGGGCACTGGGGACAGTGGGAGGTGTCCCTGCCATGGCACGGGTGGCACTGGATGATCCTCCCGGTTCCTTGTCACCCAAACCAGTCTGGGATTCCTGAACATCTCTGCAGTTCTCCCTGGATGTCTCCAGCTCTGTTGAGGAGGTTTTCCCTCGTCTTTCTGGACTCTTTGGCTGCCTCCAGGCTGATGGTGATGGTGGTACCTTAGGAGATGATCTGGGGGCTCTGTGCAGTGCCAGGCAGGTTTGGTGGGCCGTGTGCAGGGGTCTGTGCCAGGAACAGAGATCGGGGGGCTCCAGGGTGAGGGACAGGTCAGCACCTCCCACCTCTTCCCACCCCCTCTCGCTTCTCTTCCCCTGCTCCTTTCCATTGCCTTCCATTCCGCTGCTCCCTCCTGTGCGTGGGCAGGGCCGGGGTCCCTCACCCATCCCCTGCCGGGGGCAGCTCTGCCCGTGCCCTGGGGTCCGTGGGCAGCACTGGAGCCCCCGGTTTGGCTGTCTGGGCACGCTGGCACCTGCACAGGGGCCCTGGGGAGGGGGCCAGCAGCATCCAGCCGGGAGGAGCGAGCTGTGACTTGTCATTTCCCTCGTGCTCCTGCCTCCCACCGCAGAGGGGCTCCGGAGCCCCGTGGGCCGTCACCGGTAGGCACAGGCTGGGCACAAACCTCGAGCAGCGGCGGGGCTGGGCATGGCTTCGTGTGGGCATGGCCAAGCTCCAGTTCCTCCCGCCGGGATTGGAGCTTGGCGCCGGCTGAGCCGGGCGTGGGGCACGGGCGGGGGCGCGGGGGGCGCGGGCACACACGGATGGGGCGATGGCTGAGGGACCCGCGGGGAATGTGGGGGGACACCGGGCCTGGGGGCAGCTGGGATCCAGGTGGAGGGGGGGATCCCATCCTGGACTGGGGTAACCCCAGGGATCCACGGGGAGGGATGGATCCTAGCTCAGACCGAGGGATCCATGGGGAGGATGGATCCCGTCACACACTGAGGGATCTCCTGTATCCATGGGGAGGATTGAGCTTCCATCCCTGTTCCATGGCCTCGCTCCCTCGAGCTGCTCGAGGTGAGCCCCCGCCTGGGGATCCCCGACCCTGGGGCACAGAGAGGGGCCGAGCGGGGGCCGGGCGGGCAGGGGCTCAGGGGCTCAGTGCCAGCCCCTCGGGGTCACTGGGTGCCCTCAGCCGCTGCTGCCATCCGTGTGTGCGGGGCCGGGCCGGGCCGGGCGGGCACTGACCGCTCTCTCCCGCGCTCTCCACCGCAGAGATTTAACTCGCTGCGACTCCGACTCCTCCATCCCGCACCTGAGCGACCACCAGCGTATCCCCAGCTCGGCGCCCAAGCTGCTGGCTGCGCGGCCCACGCTGCTGACCCGGTCCGTGGAGGAGGCTGCCCCCGCGGCCCCGGGCCCCGGCGCGCCCACGCCCAACGGCGGCAGCCGGCACGGGGAGCCCTCCGCCCTGGCGGCCTTGCAGGAGCGGCTGCCCGAGAGCCCCATGGCGATGAAGAAGATGATGACGGTGAACCACGGCATGGAGAAGTCCTCCAGCCTGGGGGAGATCAGCCACCACCCGACGGGCGGCAAGCCCAGCCACTCGGATTCGTCCCGGTCGCACAGCCCCAGCTCCACCGACCCCGACACCCCCTCCCCCATCTCTGACTGCCGGCCCAGCGGCGCCAGGAACACCCGCATCCCGCAGCTGGCCGCCAAGAAGAGCCCGGGGGACGAGGACAGCAGCCTGACGGGCGACGAGGTTGACCTCGGCCAGAGCAAGAAAAAGTTCCCCCTAAAGATCTTCAAGAAGCCCAAGAAGTAGGGGGGGAGCCCCCCGGACGCGTCCCGCCGGGCCCGGGGCCGGCCGTGCACCGGGAACGCAGCGCGGCCCCGGCTCGCTCCGCTCCCCGAGTCACCCCGGCGCCGGCACGGGAGGAGCTATTTAAACTTATTTATTTCCTCATCTCCGAGACGAGAAGCGCGACGCCGCCGGCTCCTCGCGAGAAGAGCCGCCCCTGCCCTCCCTCCGACCGCTGCGGTCCCGGCTTTGCTGTGCATGGCTTCCAGTTACTCCTGCTCTGCTCAGCCACGCGGCCTTTGGGTTTGGTTTCAATGTGGTTTTATTTTTTTTTAATTTTATTTTTTATTATTGTTATTGTTTTCCTGCCTCCTCCGACTTTTGCACAGGCTGAGGGCGGGCCGGGGCCGCTCGGCGCTGCCCCCGGGGTGACTCCCCTCGCAGCGGTTCTCTCTCCCTCATTGCTCCGAGTCGCTTTCCCTGGATCCCGTCCCGAGCAGCTCTCGCTGCGCAGGAGCAGGGGAGGACTCCGCCCTTGCCGCCGGTACTTGTGTGCTCCCGGTGCCGCCGGGGGCCGCGGGGACGGGGCCGTCCCCGCACTGTCCTGCCCGGTGCCCGGGGAGGTCGGGACACGGGGCAGGGACACGCCTGGCCCCGGCTGTGCTTCCCCGGTGCCCTGCGCTGCTCCGAACCCACCGTGCCCGGGACCCGGCTGGGGACCCTGGGGACAGGGAGGGAACCACCCGGACAGTGAGGGAACCACCCTGGTGGCAGGGACAGGGAGGGAAGGGCCCTGGTGACAGGGACAGTGAGGGAACCACCCTGGTGACAGGGACAGGGAGGGAAGGGCCCTGGTGGCAGGGATGGTGAGGGAAGGCCGTCCCGAGGGATGTGGGTGCAGAGCCAGGTCCAGCCGCCACATCCACATGGAGAGGAGAAGGCTCCCGGGAGCAGAGCCTGTCCCCTGTCCCGTGTCCCCTGTCGTGGCTGGGCAGGGCCAGAGGGAGGGACCAGGACACAGCAGGGCTGTCCGGGGCAGGGGCCAGGCTGTGCCTGGGGGGCAGGACCATGACAGAGTCCTCCCCTGGAGCAGGCCGGGCGCTGAGGGCTCTGTGCCCCCCGAGGGACGCTCACACAGGCAGCGTCCCCCTTGCCCTGACACACCGGGGTGTCCCTGGCTGTGCCAGCCTGCCCCGGGGCTCAGTCCAGCCTGAGCCGCTCCCAGGGGCTCTCCCATTCTCCCTCGGCACATTGGGGGTCACATCCTGCTGCTCACAGCCCCCAGCACAGCCCCGGCCACTGCGGGGTCCCCACTGAGGGCAGCAGCTGCAGCGAGCCCACTCCCTGCGAGGGCCGAGCCCGGCCCGAGGGACGAGCACCGAGGGGTGAGCCCTGCCCCATCCCTGGGTCCTGCCCCATCCCTTGCCCCCCAAGCCCCCTCCCACCCCACTCGAGGGGGCTCCCTGGCACCACAGGACTCCCCAGCCCGGGGTCCCTGTCCTCAGCACCCCCTCCGTCCCCAGACCACCGTCCCACACTGCTTGGGGTGGGCAGGGGCTGCTCCTGCCGAGGCAGAGGAGGATGCACGACGGGGGGAGGAGGAAGAAGAGGCCGAGAGCCCCCGGGGCCTTGCTTTATGCCAGAGTAATATATTTGTGTCTTGACAATTCGGGAAGGGCTACAAAGGTGTTTTATGTTCCGTAGGCGGGAGTTAAATGATTTCACTGTTGCTTTGGGATAAGTGAAAAATTCCTCTCAATGACTTTAAGTGCCTGCATTTCCCTGGGGATGGGGGAAACGCTCTCGGCCCCACAACAGGGGCTGCTGCCTGGGCATCCCGATTCCATGGGCACCCTGATCCGTGGGCACCGCAATCTGTGGGCACCCCGATTCATGGGTACTCTGATCTGTGGGTAACCTGATTTATGGGCACCCCGATTTATTGGCTCCCTGATTTGTGGGCACCTCAATTTATGGGCACCCTGATTTATGGGTACCCCAATCTGTGGGCACCCTGATTTATTGGCTCCCTGATCTGTGGGCACCCCGATCTGTGGGCACCCTGATTTGTGGGCACCTCAGTTTTTGGGTACCCTGATGTATGGGTACCCCAATCTGTGGGCACCTCAATTTATTGGCACGCTGATCTGTGGGCACCCCAATTTGTGGGCACCCTGCATTCACGGGCAGGGCCCCGGGAGCGGGGCCAGGGGGGTCGGGGCCAGAGCTGCTTGTGGTGGCAGAGACCTGTGGATGCTTCTGGAGAAGAGGTTGGGGATCCACCAAACGGCAACTGTTGACACATCTGCCAACTCTTGATTTAAGGTGGTTTTTGTTTTTTGTTTTTTGTCATTTCATAAAACTTTTCAATCCAATAAAGCATGTAGTCTATTTTACGAGCCCATGGCTGCTGCTTTTTTCTTGCAGCCCTTGCCAGGCTTCCAGCACAGTGGGGTTGGAACTCTGTGCCTGCTGGGGATGTGTTCCTGGCCAGGTCAGTGGGGACAGAGGGACACCCTGGCTGCCCCCTGCACCAGGGCCCTGCCAGTGTCCTCTGCCGTGGGAATTGGATCCACAGGCACAGTGGATCCACCCCGGGGACATCCTGGCACTGTCACTGCCATGGGGACACTGCTGACAGCTGGGACAGGGACAGCCACCCCCAAACTGCTTCAGGAGGTGGGGCAGCTCCGTGGGCAGCGGGTCACAGAATCCCAGAATGACCAGGCTGGGAGAGACCTCCAAGACCATCGAGTCCAGCCCAGCCCCAACCAAACCCTGGCCCCCAGTGCCACATCCAGGCTCTGTTAAACACACCCAGGGATGGGGACTCCACCACCTCCCCGGGCAGCCATTCCAGAACTTTCTCACCCTTGCTGGAAAAACCTTTTCCCTGCTCTCCAGCCTGTATTTCCCTTGGTGCAGCTCGAGGCTGTGTGCTCTGGGTGTGTCAGTGCTGCTGCAGACAGAGCCCAGCCCCAGGTGAGCACAGGCCCCTTTCAGGAGCTGTGAGAGTGATGGGGGCAGCCCTGAGTCTCCTTTTCTCCAGGCCGAGCACCCCCAGCTCCCTCAGGGCTTCCTCACAGGGTTTGTGTTCCCTCTCCAGCCTCGTTGGCCCCTCTGGATGTGCTCAGTGTCCCAGTGTCCTTCCCAAACTGAGGGCCCAGAGCTGGGTGCTGCTCCCAGGGTGCCCCAGAGTCACCTCTGAGGGGCAGGACGTGCCCAGGACAAACAGCGAAACACACACTGGCATCTGTGGGTGGCATCAGCCGGGCTGGGGGATGGCGATGGCACAGGGACAGCAGCCGCAGAAATGCCACAGGATGAAGGCACAGGGGCAGCAGTTATCCCATGGGATGGCACAAGGGCAGCATCCATCCCACAGCACACTGGCATCCTCTTTAGCCTGGCGCTCATTAGCGCTCATTAACACTCATTAGGGCCTGCTGCCTCCACGCGGCCATCCAGGGGATCAGCCCCCAGGAATGGCTCAGGGCACCAGGACACCTCTGGGGCGTTGGCACTGGCGTGTCCCTGCCCTGCCCGTGGTGCTGGCTCTGTCCCCAGCCCTCCCGGCAGGGAGTTTGGGCAGGGATAACGTCTCCATTTCGCTGTGGGAGCAGGGCCCAGGGCTCTGGCAGGGCTGGCAGCAGGTGAGGCCTGGCAGGGCTCAGAGGGGGTGCCATGGCTCCGGTTCCTGCCCGCGGCCCTCCCGTGGGAGCTGTCCTGGAACAGCACCCAGGCTTTCCTTTGCTCTGCAGCCACCTCAGAAATGAACCCGCTGCTCCACGCCCTCCTGCTCTCAGAGCAGGGGATCAAAACTCAGAGAAGAACATGGGGGCAAACATCTGTGAGTGCAGCTTGGGCTCCAGCCAGCCCAAAATGCCATTTGGGATTATTTTCCTTCTGTAGGCCCTTTTCTGGTAAACAGAGGCACCAGCCCAGCTTCATTGCCATTTCCTGGTCAGTTCCAAACATTCCCTGTGTCCCATCTTTGAGGGACGCTCTCTCTGAGCAGGACCAGGCTCACCTGGTGCATTGGGCACTTCCCACCCACCCTGGGGGCTGAGGAACCCCCAGTGCTTCTGGCTTGGAATCTGAACTTGGAACCTGAACCAATGCCCTCACCTCAGAAGGGACAGAGCCCCATCCACAAGCAATAAAAAACAGAATTTCCAGCCCCTTTGAGCCCTAGGATGTCTCTCTGAGCACCTCAGGATCAGCCTCAGCCCAAGGGTTGATGGTTCATTGTCCTGTCAGGGAGCAAACCTCAGCATTTCTGGTGTGCTGCCACATTTGGCTGTGGCTCCTGTTCCTCCCAGCGTGGGGAAGGGGGAACCTCACAGGCTGCAACCACAGCCAGGAGGTGTGTCCCTGCCAGCCTGGGCTCCCCAGTGCCACAGGGACACTCAAGAGTGGGACTGGGGGAGAGCTGATGGTGTTTGGGTTTGGGTTCTGCACAGGAACCTCAGCAGGGCTTTGGTGCTGCTGCCCTGAGCCCTGACGGGACCTGCAGATCCATGGAATGGTTTGCATTGGGAGGGAGCTTAAATCTCATCCCATCCCACCCTGCCATGGCAGGGACGCCTCCCACTGTCCCCAGTGCCCAGCCTGGCCTTGGGCACTGCCAGGGATGCAGGGGCAGCCCCAGCTGCTCTGGGCACCCTGTGCCAGGGCCTGCCCACCCTGCCAGGGAACAATTCCTCATTGCCAAGATCCCACCCAGCCCTGCCCTCTGGCACTGGCAGCCATTCCCTGGGTGCTGTCCCTGCAGGCCTTGTCCCCAGTCCCTCTGCAGCTCTGCTGGAGCCCCTGCAGGCCCTGCCAGGGGCTCGGAGCTCTCCCTGCAGCTTCTCCTCCCCAGGTGAGCACCCCCAGCTCTCCCAGCCTGGCTCCAGCCCCTCTGGGCTCTCTGCAGCAGCTCCAGGTGCTCCTGCTGCTGGTGTCCCAGGGCTGGAGGCTCTGCAGGTGCAGCTCTGCTGCTTTTGGGACAGAACTTTCTGTAATTTAATCTCTTTCCCTGCATCTCCTGTGCCCTGGGCCCGTTCCACAGCAGAGCCTCAGATGTTCCTGTGCAGTTGTTCCTTAGACACCTGCAGGGACGGGGACTCCACCAGCTCCCTAGGCAGTGGGACTCAAAGTTTAATCACACATTTCACGCCTGGGCCTTGATTCAGGATAATTAAATTTAACGTAATTACTGTGTTAGCGTTTCAGTTCGAGGTTTTTGTCCCTCGGCGGGCTCTGTCTTTGGCGCCCTCAGTCCCGTCCTGTCCCTCCGGCTCCTCCCCGGTGGTGGTGGGGGGAGCGCTGGCGCCGCCATCTTTGAAGCGGGCAGGATCCGTGCTGTTTCCCGGAGCGGCGACGATTCCCGGGGGAAAAGCGGGGACACTATCGGGATGAGGGCCGGGATCGGTGTCCGCCCGCGGCCACGGGCAGCGCCGAGAGCCGGGCGGTGCGGGAAGGGGCCAGGCA